TTAAATTTGGTTTATTGATTAAAACTTAGCTTTTTGTATTATTACAATCAAGATTTGTACTTGAAATACCAACATCATTTGTGCTTAAGTCATTGAAAAAGAAATGGAAAGACTATAAACATAATTTGAAGAAAAAGTATTATGATTGAAATAGTATTGTAGAGGCCATAATGAAAAATATACCCCATAATGTGATTAGGTGGCAATATGAATAATTAGTTAGATTTTGGTTCTCAAGAAAATGAGAGGTACTTTTAGTATTAGTTTTTATAATAAAGGTGTTTTATGATTTAAGTTGATAATATTTGTATTTCTATCATATATGTAATTATTTTTTATGACAGGAAAGAGAACAAATTAGGATTGGTAGTAAAAAGCAACAGAAATATAGCCACACAAATGGATCAAAAAGTTTTGCAAGAAAGCAAAAAAAAAATAGTAAGTTTATGATATTAAACTTTTTCGAATGATTGAACTTGGTTTTCATAATTGATATATGTGTCGTAATTTGCAATTAATGTCTGTTTACAACTTTTTGTGCTATTACAAGGTAAAAATGTAAATTTACAATTATTGTTCTATTTTAATAGTTATGATAGTTTCAATACATGATATTAAACTTATCCAAATTATTAAACTTAGTTTCCACGATTGATATGTATGACAAAGTTAGGACTTTTTACGCTGTTAATAGGTAATAATACAAAATTGCTATTATTATTCTAGTTTAATAGTTTGGATAACTCCAATAATGATATTAAACTTATCCGAATGATTGAACTTGGTTTTCACAATTGATATATATGAAAAAGTTATCATTTACGTCTATTTAAGACTATGTTTGTCGTTAAAATGAAAAAAAACAAATTTGTTGTTATTATTCGATTTTAACAGTTTGGATGGCTTCAATACATGATATTAAACTTTTTCAAATTATTGAACTTGATTTTCGCAGTTGATATATGTGAAAAAATTGTTGTTTACAGTTGTTTAGGATTTTTTCGAGCCGTTAAAAGGTAAAAATACAAATTTACTATTATTGTTTTATTTTAGCAGTTTAGATAGCTTCAATACATGATATTAAACTTTTGCGAATGGTTGAACTTGGTTTTCGCAATTGATATATGTGACAAAGTTGTTATTTACCTCTATTTAGGACTTTTTTTGCCATTAAAAGGTAAAAATACAAAGTTGTTGTTGTTCACCATATTTTAACAGTTTAGATAGCTTCAATACATGATATTAAACTTATCCAAATAATTGAATTTGGTTTCCATGATTGATATGTGTGAAAGGCCAAAATGTTTTTATTGTTTACGTTTGTTTAAGACTTTTGTGCTATTAAAGGGCAAAAATATAATTTTACAGTTATATCTCTATTTAATAATTTAAATAGATTAAATACATGATATGCATGAATATGTTGCGGTTGATATGTATTTAACAATAACATATGTTTTTATATAGGAGATTGAGATGGGTGAAAAAATTGAACGTGTAAAACTTTTTCGATTAACTCATATAAAAAAAGATGGATCTTACCTGAATGTTGAAACACAAGAAATTATGGTAATTTGTTACATATGTTGTATACAGAAAGTAAATATTGACTATTTTAAACAGATTATTAATTAATCATTAAACTTGATAGTTTTATCTAATTAATTTATAAGAAAAAGCGAAAGAAAAAATGGCTACTAATATTGAAATTGCATCTGATGGTTCCGTCAATATACAAGAATTGAAAAATTAAATTTTCACAAAAGTTGCTGAAAAAGAAAGATATGGATGGGTTCGATGCCTTGGATTGAGTCCAACACCATCTAGCTACTATGGATGTAGCTTTCAATAATTTATATTCTCAACAAGTCAATCCTCGCGAGACATTTTCATATTGAGAGATGAGTTTTAAACTATGCAACAACGTTTCCAGCAAATGGAAGCATAAAAAGAACATGAGCATGCTAAAATTGAAGAGGAACGTGCTAGAATGGAACAAGAACGTACAAAATTTCAGTAGTTGCATGATCGATTTGATACTCTTATGAATTTTATGTAACAACAATTTTCAAAAACTAATGTAAGTGGTTTACCAACTCAGATATTATATTTAGTAACTATTTATTTTTTTTAATATGAATAATAGCTTATTATTAAGTTTTAAAACTTGTATGATATTATTTAGTAGGTTCTTGGTGGGAACAATCCTTCATCAAATGGCAGTATTCTAAATCTATGAAGTCATCAATTTCATACATTTTAAATTTTTTGGTTAATGTACTAAATTAATTTGAATATTATTGCATGTATTATTAAACTTTGTGTTACATACATATTTGAACAAATTATGTATTTATAATATTAAGTTTATGAATTGAACTTTGTTTTTATTTCTTTTAACATTTTTATTTAATGATAATAATAAATTTTATAAAAAAGTAAATTTTTTAATTTCACGATGTTTGTGTTAAAAAATGCCACTAAATTCAAAATTTAGTAGCATTTGTAGCATAAAACGTCACTAAATTAGCAGCATTTTATCAGGAAAACATTGTTAAATTAACAGCATTTTATTAGGAAAACGTCACTAAATTAGCAGCGTTTATCTATTCAAATGCCGTTAATTTAACGGTGTTTATTTATACAAACGTTGTTAATTTAGCGACGTTTATCTATACAAATGTCTCTAATTTAACGACGTTTTATGATACAAACGTCTATAAATTAGCAGCATTTTTGTGATATAAATACTACTAAATTAGAAGCGTTTTATAAAAAAAAACACCACTATTTTTCTTGACGTGGATATAACCGACACTCTTAGTGATGTTTTTCGCAAATGCCGCTAATATTTTAGTGACATTTATAAATGCCAATAAACCTTTAAAAAATATCACTAAAGACTTAAACCTTTGTAGTAACTATACTTTATCTCATTACTTTCATTGTTTTTATATTTAAATATATATCACATCACTGAGTTTAATCTCACCAATTATTTAATTTGAGAAATTTTTCATGAGATTTATAATTAAATCAAATATTCGTGTATATATATATATATATATTATTGTGTAATTAATTAGCTGCCACAAACGTAGTAAAATTTCAAAATTAAATATGTACTTGTTCGTTGGTTACGAGTAAACCTTTTCTTGGATCGAATTACTTGTTAAACTTGCAGGTCTCAAGAGTTTTTTTTATCTTATCATTATATTTTATAATCTTATTTTTCAAGTATTTATAGTTTTAAATTTATTTTTCAATATATTACACATTTTATTATTTTATTTGTTATAATGTGTAAATTCGAAAATTCAATTAGCAAACATAAAAAAATCACCTTCAATCTTTTTTGTTAAACGTGATTGATTATCTAAATTTATTTTATTTAAAAAAAATTTTAAGCTTGACTCATTTTTTAAAAAATATATATTTTAATTTACATAATATTCCTAGGTTCAAGATTACACTTACATTTAATAAAAGTATTAATACCCTACAATGTCTATCCAAAATTGATACTAATTAATTTCATATTATCTTAAATTTTTCTAGGCTAAATAAATGATACTTTATTTTACCATTTTTGTTTTATTTAATTTATTGTATAAATATAAAAAAAAATTCAAGCCTTTAATGACACCTTCAATGGAATTTTAAAAAAAATATATCATTTTAAAATTATTCAAAAAAATGTTATTTTATTGAAAATGCTTGAAAATGCTCTATTGGTGGATTTATTTGATGTTTTATGAAAATATTTTATTTATTTTACTTTATTTTTTGTTTTACTAATAATTATTTTTATTATTGGCCAAAAAATATTTATTTTTATTTTAACTATCTTTATCTTTATTTTTTATATGAAATTACTTAAATTAATTGTTAAATAAGAATTTTTTTGTTGAAATATTTTCAAAAATTTTCAATACTTTTGATAAAATTTGAAGACAAATCCTCACTTAAGGTTCTAAACAATTAACACTAGTGATTTTGTTTAAATTTTATCATTCAAAGAATTTTCACTTAATGAATTACAAATGATGCAAACAAATAAACATGATGCATATGGTTGTAAATTATTCACAATTTTGATTCTAATTTAAATTTTAAAATTTAAACTATTAAGTAAAATAAAATTACTTGTGAAAATAGTCCTTGAGATTTTCTACCAAAACTTTGGGTAAGATCTCATAATTATTTTTCATTTGAAATATTTTTTAAAAAAAGTCACTTTAAAATTTTCTAAAAGAATTTCATTCCTAAGGAATTTTCCTAAATATTTGCTTTCATTATTAATAAATCCCATCGATGGTTTTGAGCAGATTCCAAGTTGGGTTCGAGAAGACATGCGAGTTGGGCGTCTCTGAAGTCCAAAACTCTTTGTTCTGGTTTCAATGTGCAAACCAAAATTTTGCCATCATTTTTCCTTTTCTTCTCTCTCCATAGTCTCTCAAACTCTTTGCATTATCCCTACTTCAAGAACCAAAACACAGAAACAGGCCACCAGACCCAAAAGTCTTGTCGGTGACCATCGTGCCATCCGTCGTCTAGTATTGTCGACCACCGCCCACGAGCACTAATAACCCTCCAAAAACTGAAGCAGCTGCTTCAAGTTGGTCTATCGCTGTAAGCTATTCTCAGTTGCAGCAGGATAGCAACAGTTGAAAGAACAAAGAATAGAGAAGAAGGAAAAAGATGAAAACAGAGACAGAAAGGGAGAATTGTTACAACCGTTTAAAGGGAGAACATGAATTTTTGTTATGAGATTTCTTTACAGTACAATTGCTTGTTGTTTCCTTTTTACATACCAATCCATCGAGATTATTTGAAATTTAACTAACATTAACTAAATTTAAAATCCTACTTAACAACTAAATAAAAAGACTAGATAGGTTGCGTTTTACTCCTCAAATTTTGGCCTCAATATTTGGCGTGTATAATGGACAAGCTATTATCCATTATACACGAGAACGAACCAAGTCAAATTCCTCTCTTTAACGCCTTTCAAGGTCTGGTATGTGACCACACAGTATGCCTATGTTATTACAATCATCAATTGCACTTCCAAGTGCTTTTATAGCAGCTCTCATGTAGTCAGTGAAGACAAAGAAAGTAACAAAGTATGGAATCTGGCCAAGAATGCGAAGGCCGAAGCCATTGCAGATGGCTCCCATTCCATGTTCCTTAACACCAAATCTAACATTGCTTTCCTCAGAGGTGTCTTGACAATCATCATACATTTTAAGCAAAATCATGTTGTAAGAAGCAAGACCTGCACTTCCACCAAGAAAACCAGGGAGTACTTCCACAAATGTATCGATATTTTGTTGAAAGAGATTTTTTGTAGCACCAGCTGGGCCCTTTGGAGTGCATGTTGAAAGTGCCTTCTCCCAACCAAATGGTAGTCCACGAGTGATGATTGACTTGAGCTCTGCAGCTTCCTCTTTGTAGTTCACACGTTCAGCAAACTTGGCATTCCATTGGGCTTTTATAGCAGCATCAATCTTAATGCTAGCCTTCTCAAGGTCCTTAACCTCATACTTAATGGCTAAGACAATCTGGTAACATCGTTCATGTCTTGGTTGGTTGATTCCCACAAAAGACCAATTCAGAGTCGTAACAAGTTCAATAAGCACTTCTTTCATAGATTGTCTAGGAATACTTTGAGCTGTTGAAGACCAAAAAACTGTCATGGTATTGGGGCGGCTCACATCACCGTAAATAATAGGAGGCTTGACATCGTGATATCCATATGATTGAAACCACCCATTTACGGAAGAAACAATACCGGATAATTGCTCACCAAGGTACTTAACCATGTCATTTTTTTTGGCTCTTCATGCACCAACACATCAATGTCAAGCTCACACCAATAGTGATGGGAGGAAAAATTAGTATGTCCAACTTCTTTTGTTGAGTATCCAATCTAACACTTAAATTTATGGCACAATGATGATCAAACTCCTTCAAGACAGCATCAACCTTCGGCACGGCCTCATTTGTCACTCTAGGAGAGGATTTTCTTGAAACATATGCTATAGCCTTAAAAGCATAAAATGCCTCATAAGTAATATCCACAGAGGAGGTCACAATCAAAGAATTAAATCCGGAGTAGGTAGTGATGGTGACCACTCGTTGCGAGGGCAGGTTAGGATAGAGTTCTCCAAGAACAGCTCGCTCCTTACTGATACCATTACCATGGCTCTTCTCCATTACCAGAAGCCTAAACCCGTAAGGGTCATGAACCTCAATCAACTTATTCTCAGTCACAAACACATTTGAATTAGCCCTTCCAAGCTTCCACAAACATCAATAGTCCCAACAGACCTAATCTTATTCCAAGCGACAAAAGATTGCACAATTTTTAACACAAAAGAACGAACACTGGAGTATCTAACTTGCCAATAACCATTTCACCAAATAATTCATCAAGCTTAGACTCATTCAAACCTTTAGATACTGAACTAACCCCATTAAGTGAGCACAAAGGCTTACCGGTAAGGAAGAGGGATTAGTGGAGGCTGCTATGGATGGTTTCTGCTCAGCTTGCAGATTTTCCTCCATATTCACCTCAGAATCATTAGTTTTTTCATCAACAGTTACATAGTTGATCATTGTAGACGTTTGGTCGAACACCTAAAATTTCTCAGATCGGATCGAATACCTTCTTGCACTCGTTCAAACGCTCAATCCAACCGTTCAAATGCACTATCCAATTTGCAGTCCAAACGCGCCATTATTCTCATAGCAGAGTATCGTCGATTTGAAATTTGATTTTCGCACGTCATTCATAGCCATGATCAATGCGCTGATACCACTGATGCAACTTCTTCAAGTTGGTCTGTCGCTGTAAGCAATTCTCAGATGCAGCAGGATAGCTATAGTTGAAAGAACAAAGAATAGAAAAGCAGGAAGAAGAAGAAAACAGAAAGAGAAGATGAATTTTTATTATGAGATTTCTACGTTTTGCTCCTCGAAATTTGGCCTGTAACAAAAACCTTCTTCAATTTCTCACAATCTCCTCTATCACTTTATTAAGTTGAATTTCTCCGAAACTTTTTAAAAGAAATTAGATCTAAACCCAAACCCCACGGTTGCCAGTTGCCATCCCTAAAAACCTTACTTCCTTCCTTTAATGGTATGTCCTTTAATGGTATTTTTTTTTTTTTAATTAATTTATTTGTTAATATTTTAATAAATACGCTACTTGATATCTGTAGACAGTCATTTGAGTATAATTGCATACGTAATCTTGTCAATAAATGAAACCCCAATTCAATAGCAGGGTCTATGGTTTTCAATTCTTAACCTCTTTGAACATTTTTTTTTTTAAATAATTATATTTATCAATATGTTAGACTGGGGCTCCATATTTATCATTTTATTTTTTTTAACTATTTTATTATCCTACTATATTTTTTTGACGTAATTCAAGTCATTTATGAATAAAATTAGAATATTTCATCTAAATTAAAAAATATTTTGTCAAAATTTTTAATTACTTTTTAATTTTTATTTATATAAAAAGTAAAAAAAAAATATTCATTTCAAATTGTAAAAGTAAAAAAAAAAAATATTCAATTCAAATTGTAAGCAAGGATAACAATATAACTTCCAATAGTTAAATAAAAATAAAAATTATTATTTTTTCTAAAAGTACCAACTATATCATTTTGTTCCGTTTAATTTTATTAATTTCTTGACATTATAAAGTATTAAATTTGTTTTGGCCAAAGTTGTAAAGTATTGATGAAATTTAAATGAAAATTTTTAGGTGAAATTTACAAAAAAAAAAAAAAATTTAATCATTTAATAAAAACTTTAATAAAAAATTTAAATTGATAAATTAATAATATTTAATATAAAAATATATAATATATAAAAAAACTATTAAAAATATTATTTATAATCCAAATTTAATTGCTATGTATTCAATAGTAAAAATTATATCAAAAGTTTTATTAAAAATACCTATGTATAAAATTAATATCTCCAAATTTATTAAATTTTTTTAAAAAATTTTACACATTTGATCCATCTAACAAAACTTTTCGATTTAATAATTTTTATTTTTATTTAATCATTTTTAATATAAAACTTTATAAATTTCAACTATAAAACTGTATTTAAGTGTTTTTTTTTTTTAAAGTTTTATTTAGTTGGCGCTCCTAATGTTATTATAAGAGTTCAGGTTAGGTCCAACCAAAATTAAAGGTTAAAGAATTTTGATAACATTCTTTCTACTATACTTTATCAATTTCGTCCCTATAATCAAATTATAAACTATTGATTAGTTAGCATTCTCTTTGTAATCAGAATAATTGGTCACACTAAACAAAAAAGGCTGTCCATTTAATGGTCGGTACTGAATGAAAAAAAGGTTAAAAGAAAAAATTAACGGTATACCACGTTTTTCTTTAAAATTTTTTGGAGGATTTTTTAAAGACAAAACAACACTTAAATAGAAAATATCAGAGAAAAAATATTAAAAATTTCTAAAAAAGTATTGATAAATACTAACAATACTTTTATATGTAAACTAAAGTTGAGCCCGCACTTCATTGCAGACCTTTGTTAAATTATTAAATAGATAAATAAAAGTTATTCAATAAATATAATATTAACATAAGTTAATATTACGTCGGTACATATTTGGTGCATAAGGTTGGTGACTGAAGCAATATTCTGATTACAATAGATTCAAAGTTTAAGACTATATTATTAATCCTAATTAATTTTGATTAATAATTCTATCAATTTCTTAGTTTTATTCTATCATCCTCATTGTGTTGCCAACCAATGACATCCCCTAAGCATAAATAACAAAGAAATCCTAATTAAAAGAAACAATTAAGTGAAGTTTAGAAGCACAACAAAAACACTTGACTAGGAAAAATGAAATCTAAAGTGGTAACATTTTAATATTTTGCAAATGTCTCTTAACTAGCCTATGCTATTTGAATTTAAAATCCATTACAGAGATATATTAGATTGTCAAAGTCAATGTAACACATACCTAACACATACCTTGATTCTTGTAATACGAATACGGCATTACTTTTACCCCATATCACTAATTTTGCCCACAAATTCACAAATTGTAATGAACATTAAAAAAAGTCCAAAAAAAAAAAAAAAGCAGCAATCCAGAGAAATTTTAAGCTTAGAAAATGAGGTTGGCTAGAATAAATTTAATTTATATGTGTTCATAATTATTTATAACATTCAAAATCACAAATACCTTACATGGTAGACCATCTCAAGAAATAATTTTCAATAATATTAAGAAGATTTTTTATATTCTTTACAACTTGAATCTCATCAAATATGTTTCAAACTTATATAAATATAAAACCTTGAGATTCGTAAAATCCAATTTTTTCATTTTATTCTCACTTTGAACAATAAAAAGAGTTTCAAATGACAATCAAATTTGCATATCAAATTTGTTTTATTTCAATAACATACCGAAAGGAATGTATTACCAAATTTTAAAAAGTAATATTAGAAAACAAATTGAATTGGAGGCATGTTGTAAAAAAAAACCAAAATATAACTTTATCTTTCTGATTTAATGAGACATACATCTTGTATATCTTGTTAGGGATAAAGTTAGGTTTTATCTTGGTAGGTTAGTATAACCCTAATTCTAAAATGAATAAGGTTGATGCCAACCATTTGCATCACAACCTATCGAACCTATCCTAATTGACAATGATAAGTCTATTGAAATATCATTTGAACCATGGGACCTTCGCCTATTCATTATTATTGCATTAGATCTTTAAGCCCTCCTATTCACTTTTGACCAACAATTCTACCACCGTTCCACTCACCAAAAACACATTTAAAAATCATATTCAGAATAGTATTATTATACCTTTTTAATCTATTAGACCTCAATTTAATCTTTCCAACCTTCAAATCCTATTCTCTCTTATGTAACTAATATTATCCATACTTTGAACACACACCTAAACATACCAATGAATAAACCAATATGTGCAGATAACCGAAAACAAAGCAACAAAATAGTCAAATCCACTCACCAATAACACATTTAAAAATTGCATTTAGAATAGTATTATTATGCCTCTTTAATCTATTAGGCCTTAATTTAATCTTTCCGATCTTCTAATCCTATTCTCTCTTATCTAACTATTATTATCCATACGTTGAGCGCACACCTAAACATACCAATGAATAAACCAACATGTGCAGATAACTAAAAACAAAGCAACAAAAAAATCAAAATCAATATCAAGAAAAAGTAATAATTAAAGCCAAAATCAAACACTCACATGACAGCAGCATCTTGATGCAATGAAGAGTATCTAATTTAAAATAAATACAAAAACAAATCATTATAAACCAAAACAATCCTGAAACTTAATTGCCAGCATACTTTGAACAATCCCTACAATACAAAGACAGAAAATGTTACAAACACAACCAAATATTCAACAACATCTCATATAAAATCAAAAAACTCAACTAAACATTTAAAAACCAAAACAACCAATAAAATTTAGAATACAAACCAACTTTGAACACAATTGCTAAAATAGCTAGAACACTCCTTGTAACAAAATGAAGAAATCAATCAAGTAAAATGATATAAACAATTTAAAAGCCAATGATCAATTTTTAAAACCATTTTAAACAAAATCCAACAAAATCGAAAGCAAATTTAAATTCAAATACACTTGTTGGAATACCTTAAACAAAATCAATTTACAAACCACTAAATACTTTCAATACACCCTACAAGAAAATGAAGAAAAAAATTCAAATATGAAAGTTAATTCAATACCGATTCGAATCAACAATTAATACAGCAAAACTAACTTTAAAACAATTACTAAAACAACTTCAAAGTTCTCTACAATTACTGGAATTTCTTAGAAATTGCCTGCTAGAAAACCATGTAAATGTTAAATTTAAGAAAATATTTGAAGCAATTTTTAAAATCAAACATGTAAATAAAATCAAAGCAATCAATACCCTAAAGCCAATTTATTGAGGATGTATACTAAAAGAATAGATACTAATTAGTTTGATGAAAACCAATTAAACTACTTAAAACTCCTTAGCATTAATTTGATACATTGTACATTCTCAAAGCAACTTGAGGTGAAATAGATGGACTTGATCCATGTTTCCCAATTTACTTTACTACTTAAAAGGGTGATTACTTCTGCTTTCTACCACCCAAAATTAGGTGCCATATTTTAATTCACCTAGCTTAATTTTCTCATTTGGCTTTTATATGTGAAAAAGGAATGTCCATTTGTAAAAATAATCTACAAATTGTAGTTTATTTTTGCTTTTTTTTTTATTCCAATGTACTCTATATGTATTCATGTCATGAGAAACGTGAAGAACCTAGCCAGATATGATAACCGATGCAATGAGCAAGTTTTAAAAGCAATAACTGTCTTAATAAAGGCATTACATTGTTTATGTATAAATATATTGCTGGGTTACAAATTCCATTTAATCTAATTCCAATATGGAAAATATTAAATACTTTGTATACAAAAAAAAAAAAAATAGTTTAATTGAGGTCATCAATATTATAATTTTTATATCCAATTATGTCTTGCTTGATCTCATGCTAGATCAACGCTAATTTTACAGAGTAAGAAGTTTAGATTAGTCTTTGTCTGTAATGGCTTTTCCTTTAAGGAAAAAAAAAAAAAGAGCAATATCATTTTTAAATCGCTCTTAAACATTAGGCTGGAAATTAGTTCCTTTTCACCAATTTAGTAATCACAAAGTTAGACTGTAAAACTCGTATCAATACATGCTTTTCCAAACTTACATGCTTTCAAAATATTTTTATGTTATTGATGCAGCCAGAATGTGTAAGGTAAACAGCTAAACCTACCATCAGTACTCTAGCATCTTTGACCAATATGACCAGCTCAACTTGAAAATCCTGTTATAAAGCTTTACATACGTTTGAGGTTTGCATCCCGGCATGAACAGCTAAGGATATTCCTCTAAATATATGCTAAATATCATTCATCAAAAGACTATAATGAAAGAGCAAACCATCCATGGCTGAGTTGTAACTGGCACTAGTGTTGTCGCACCAAGTTAAGGATTTGGGGCCAGCATCCCCTTGACCTTCTACTCCCTTCATTCCCATCCCTTCTATTCTTTCAGAATTCCGATGATGAACAAAAAAGAAAAGAATAAACTATGATGGAATAGGGAAAAGGTGAGAGGAAAAAGCTCGCTCTAATCATAGTTAGGCTCTGGCTCGGTTTCCCTTACATATTTCTCTCCTCTTTTTTTTCCTTGTTTTCCTACAATACCCCGTAAATCCAAATCAGAATCTAAACCCAATCCTGAATCAGCAAAAAAAAAAAATATATATATATATATATATATATATAGAATGAAGAAATCCAGCAAACCCAGAGATGAAACATCCAATCAAACAAGCAATGCATAAAAAAAAAAAAAAAAAAGAGTTTTCTTTTGAATTTTTTTTTCGGTTCGAGTGCTTTGAATCAGTGGCTAGAAGGCTAATGGAAGAGTAAGAAGTCTTCTTAGTTTCTCAGATGGTTAAAAACAGCCAAAACATTGGTTGTCTAGGCTGCTTTGGATTTAGATCTGCAAAATTTAAGGAGGATTTAGAAGATTTTGAATCAAGAAAAGAAAAAGATTTGTTTTGCCGAATAGACTCCCTCTAGAAACTTCTTGTTGGTGTTGGTTTGTGAATAATTGGGTTACAGTGAGCCGTTGAATCGAGGACACGATCGCTAGATAAAATGAATGGTAAAAATTGAAGCAATTTTTTAATGCTCTAAATTTATCCTCTAATTTTTTTTTGTTTAAGACACTCTAAGAGGTGTAGAGGAAATTAAAGTTCGAAACTCCTTTTATATATTGTTGTAGGTTATATGTAAATTATAAAAGTATTTGTAAGAAAAAGTATAAAAGTAATTATAATTTTATAAAATATAAAAAATCATGGCATTGTTATTATTTTTAGAAAAAAAATTAATTATTTTTATTTAATTACTAGTGGTGTGAATTTGAAATAAAATATTTTTATTTTTCTTATAATGAAAATTCAAAACATAATTAAAATTTTTAACAAAATATTTTTTTAGTTTAATAAAATATTTTATTTTCATCCATAGAACATATATAATTAAAATTACAACAGAACATATATAATTAAAATTACAACAAAAAATATAATAAGATTATAAAATTAGAACAAAAAATAAAATAACAAATATGAAACCCTTAATCTAATATAATGATAAATTTAATATTTTTCATTTTTAAAATAACAGAACAATTGAAAATCCGCCTCTTTATTCACAAATCACCAGAAAATGTAACCAACCAACACACTATAAAAATTAATAAATAATTAATTCAATTGATAAATATTTATTTTATTTAATAAAAAAATTTTGAATTTAAATTTTGTAAATGATTATTTGCAAAATCATTTCAAATATATAATTTATAATTATTTATTTTAAATTATTAAATAAACACATTTTATTTTATTTAAAATAAATAAATAAAATAAATAAAATAAAGACATAAGGAGGAAGACGCAATAAAAATCACTTTTCGCAATCTGTCCGGCGGTAAAATCATGAAGTCTTAATTTAATTTCTACCATCAAAATTTAAAGCCTGTAACCTCAAGTGAAAAAAGTCACTTTCACTCACCCAAAATATAACTGGATAACAGAGAACTGGATAAGATAACTGGCTTCACACATTTCTAAGCAGCACCCCCAACAAAAAAAAAAAAAAAAAAAAAACAAAGAGAAAAACGGGAAATACCTCCTAGTTCTACAACAGAAATGCTGAGCAGAAAACTATTACAACATGGCTGACTCTTTCTGCCCAGATTGCAAGCGTCCGACAGAGGTTGTGTTCGACCACTCAGCGGGAGACACTGTCTGCTCCGAGTGTGGTCTTGTTCTTGAGGCTCATTCCATAGACGAGACCTCTGAGTGGCGAACCTTTGCCAATGAGTCAGGGGACAATGACCCTGTTCGTGTTGGCGGTCCTTCCAATCCTCTCTTGGCTGATGGTGGCCTTTCTACAGTCATTTCCAAGCCTAATGGCTCCTCTGGTGACTTGTTGAATTCCTCTTTGGGTCGCTGGCAAAACCGTGGGGCTAACCCTGATCGTTCCCTTATCCAAGCGTTTAAGACCATTGCCACTATGTCTGATAGGTTTGTCGGATTTTTCTTCTTCTCTTATACATGAATGCATTGTTTATGTTAATTGTGTGTGTGTGTTTTCTCTTTTTTTATTATCTTGTATTATAGGCATTTTGCATGCATAATTATGTGTTTGGTTATTGAGAAAATGAAGATAGAATAGAAAAGACAAGGAACAAAGAAAAGAGAAGGAAGGAATTGTGTTTGAGATATACTTAAACAATTATACATAAACATTTACATTTGTAAAAACCTTTTCAAGACAAGATTGTCTATTCACTTCTAATCTAAAGTAACAGCAAATTAACCTAACTGATCCTATATTGGAATATGTATCAGGTTGGGCCTTGTTGCAACCATAAAGGTATGAAACTGAACTCTGTTTTTGTTGGTTTATTTTCCACACAGATTTTCATAGTTCCTGTTGTTTGTAATTCCTTTAAATAAATTTTACTGAAATTCATGCATACAGATGTTTAACGGGTTTGTAATATTGGAACTTATTAGTAAAAAAATCGTTACTAGGATTTTTCCTTATTTTATTGGTACCTATATATCGCTGAGTACTCTAGATTTTGAAATTAATATTTGAAAGTAATACAAAGCTGTGAACCTTGTTTATTTTGTATTTAGTACTTTCATGAATTCGCTAGGCCCAGAGTGGATAAACCTGCTTGGACTGTCCCGAAGAGGGGATGTAGTGGGCAAAGCTCAAGAACCGCTTGCCGCTTAAACAAAAAAAAAAAAAAGTGTCAGAGGTTAATATTTAAGGATTGTGTTACACAACAATCTCTCCAAGAAAAAAAGAGACACATATTAATGCTTGGTTTTAGATGTGTGATTGGCCAACCTGCATCATTGCTTTTCAAAACATCAAATATAATTCCAGATTGGGTCCTGGAGAGGTAAAGCAAAATAGAAGATTTCCAAGTGACAATGTAAATAAGTAACTATCATATAGTTAGGGAGGTGAAGAAGAGTGCCAGATAGTTGTTTGCTGACCACTATTGGAAAATGTAAATATTAGGAACAGCTTGTAGGATTCATGTGGGAAGTTTATAACTTGAGGCTGAATGAGGATAAAAGCATCAGTTTTAGATGCTATTCTAAGTATTACGAATAGTAAGAGTGATACAAGTGTTATTAATAGTAACAGGATAAAACTCTTGGATCTTAAAGAAAAGTTCTATTAAAAAGATGCAAGTCACAGTTTCTGATTTTTGTTTTCTTTTTGTTTCCTTTGCCTCTTAAAATAAGTGCTTCTCGAATACTTCATGGTGGATTTTGCTTAGTTTAACTTTTTGATCCCATATATTTTGCTTCTATGGCCCGAAATTATCATGTGCTTTTTTCATGCTGATATAATGCCAAGAGGCATGGCAATATTGAAACTAATATGCTAACAAATTTGACTTCAAGGATCGAGCCAACGAAATATATAAGAAAGTTGAAGATCAGAAACCTCTTAGAGGGCGAAATCAGGATGCGATTTTAGCTGCTTGCCTCTATATTGCTTGTAGGCAAGAAGACAAACCCCGCACTGTGAAAGGTCTGATTTCCAAAGGTTACTTAATGAACATCTTTTCTTACTTTTTTTAGAATCCCTAACATGTAAATGTCAATCAGAAATATGCTCTGTTGCCAATGGAGCCACAAAGAAAGAAATTGGTCGTGCAAAAGAGTATATCGTGAAGCAATTGGAGGTGGAGATGGGCCAATCCATGGAAATGGGAACAATACATGCCGGGGACTTTCTGGTGAGTGATGCTCAAGTATCCCACCATTTTATTGCTGTAGTTCTCTCTCTTTCCCTATACACTGTTTCTTTTTGTATCTTGTAAATGTTTTGTTTTTCTGATTTGTCATTCCAACCAATGACATTCACAAATTTACAGAGACGTTTCTGTTCCCATCTTGGTATGAGTCATCAAGCAGTTAAGGCTGCTCAAGAAGCTGTGCAAAAATCTGAAGAGCTGGATATAAGGTAATTTTAGTTTCAACCAGTATTTTTGCTTCTAGCAGAGCTGAAATCTTTTCTGTTTGTTGCCTGTAGGAGTGCATTTTCTAACCACCAAGAATGGTTGCCAATAGGTGCCGGTAATTTTAACCTGTGTACTGGAGTTATGTTGAAAAGCTTTCCATCTATTTGAGATGGCGCTCCATGATTCTCAATGAGTGGCATTGGAGAGTTATTAGCCATTTGGATTTATAGCTCTATCCCCCCAATTTTTTGCACTATTTTATCTTCCCTGTCAATAGTTGTAATCTTATGACTTCTATTCTTGTCTACTGCTGCAGAAGAAGCCCTATATCAATTGCAGCTGCTGTTATTTACATAATAACCCAGCTCTCGGATGATAAGAAGCTTCTCAAAGGTTAGAAAGTTGACATGGAATCATTTCTTATCCCAGTTCTCGTCTTATTAAAGGTAACAAATCAATTTGGATGCAGATATATCCCTAGCAACAGGAGTGGCTGAAGGGACAATCAGAAATTCCTACAAGGACCTCCATCCCCATGCTTCAAAGCTCGTACCAAGTTGGTACGCCAAAGTGGAAGACCTCAAGAACCTTTGCAGTCCTTAAATGACAACAGTAACCCTTTTTGGTAACTGCTTTTGTTTTCTTTGGACAGGCAAAGTCACAACTCTCACTCTGATCAATCCATTTTACCTCTCAACTTGTATCTGAGTTGTTTGGTCTTTACTTTTTTTAGTCAAAACAAGATCCCTCGTAGAAATGTATAAGTAGTCAGGTTTTTTCAAGCATCATGGTGCAATTAGCAGATGGACAAATTTTTTTAAGGCACGCAAGAGAGTCAAGTCTAAAACACTTATTCAGGTAGAGAGAACCCTTTTTTTTATCCATTTCTTGAAATTGAATTGTAGTTAAATGACATTGAAACTTACAGCTGGGTTGCTATGGTGCAATTATGCATTCAGAGTGTTCCTACCTTGTATTTATGGGGGAAGGGCTAGGGTTTAAGTAGAAACCAGTGTTCAATTCAATTAACGATCAGATTAGACCTCGAAAGAGGTTTGCCGGATATTTTCAGCTGCGGCAAAATTAGAAGAAAGCAAGACTATGGATGTTGTTCTTATGCTATGAGAGTGGAGACGCAGGTGAGAAAAGAGCACAAAATACATACATGCCTCAATTCAGCAGTACAGAAAACACTTGTAATTTCATTTCATCAAAAGTATTCTTAATATAAAGATCAAATAATATTTATAAAGATTGCCAGATACTTCCTTTAGTAAAATAACGAGTACAAGATAAAATTACAATCATAATCAAAGATCACATTCATAGAAATCACTGACTAAAAAATACAGAAAATTTTAAAATCCTAAATTGAAATAACACAAGAAAAAAGTAATGAATGAGGGTCCTGAACGGCTGCATCTATAGCTTTCCCCTTCTACTTGTAAACTCTCCATGTACTTTGCTGGTAACCAATATGGTAGGTTTTGTTTTTTGTTATTATAAACACCAGTAGAGGTGGGGTGGCGCTTGATCTTTCGCAATGCTCTGTCTGTGTTGTACAGGTCAACCCACACTGATTCATAATGAAACTCGAGAGTGGAATAAACAATAGAAGCTTAATGGGTAAAAAGCATTATTTGTAACCACCAACTTGATAGAAGAAATAAAGGATGGTGAAAATTTTACACGAGATAAACCAAGACATACTACCCCCAGGTTCTAAAGTTGTTTACCTAAGAAAATAATACCACAAAACGTCATATAGATGCATGTTAACAACTAAAATTTTAGGGAAGAAGTGGAAGAGATTCATTCTAGGCTGAATATCAATACAAAGCTTCCTTCAAGGGAATAAGTAGGATTTGGTTAACCATATAATACAGGACTGCTTTTTGTCCTATTTTTGAATTAGCTAGGTTACAACAAAAAGTTTTTTTATATAGATTTAGATGGATGATGAGATTGAAAATATTGGTAACGGCTCTAAGCACACTTTTATTTTTTCTAAATCTCAAATAAATTATAAAAGAAAAAAACTTTAAAAACAATTAATGGGCACTTTGATAATTTCAATTGTATTTTACATTTTATAGGCTTTAGATAAAAAGGAGGTTCTAATCACACCTCTATTTTTTCTCTTCACACTTTACTTTTTAATCAAACTTTTTTAAGGTAACTTTGGTATCATTTTTAAAATTGCTATGATAATGTAATTAATGAAGTGATTTTATTACTAAAATGATTTTATCACTCGTGATTTGAAATTACTTTATTTAATTAACGATTATTAATTCATACATATTAAATATCATCGTATTTGGTATTATTAAAAATTAAATATTATTTTATTTAAAAATATAAAAATAACTATCTTTATTATAATAATTAAACAAGTTAATGATTTAAATGTTGTTTAAAGATAATAATACATAAAACATAGTAATATTTTATTTATTTTATAATAAATATAACTAAATTATTAAATATATTATTTATTAAGTAAACTAATTTTTGTAATATAAATTATATTAAAACATTTGAATTGAAAAATAAAACCAATCTATTAAAATCATAATAAAAAAAAAAAACAAAGACATTATACTATATATAAAACATTAGAAAAGTAAAAAAAGTATGCAAATTATTTTTGAACTTGGTATAATGAATATTAATTTAAAAATATAAAAATTTATAATATAAAATAATTAAAATTTAAAAAAAATTAAAATTTTAATTCACATATTAAATAAGTAATATTGACTATTTATAATTTTATATATTATTTCACTTTAGTGATAAAAGTTTTTCACTCTTTTAAATAAAAATTAAATTATCCTTCAAGAGAATGATCCAATTACTCACGATAATTTAATATCACTATCATGTAGAATCATCAAATATTTTACCAAACACGATGATCTAATCATCATGTGTAAATCACCATAATTTTTTAAGTGATCATCATATATCAAATACTAATTAAGTGAAATTATTTAATTACTTTTCTTATATCAATATTAATGGTTTTGGATATGTATTTCTAGTAACTTATCATATTTTTATATTTTTTAAATTAATATATATATAAATTTAGGTTTTAAAAAAATCAATTTAATTAGAAAAATTTTTTATAAAATTTTTTTAATTTTCAATATATAAATCTGAAAACTTTTAAAAATTTTAGATTTGTAAATTAAAAAATTTAGAAGTAAAAAGAGTGTGAAAAGAAAAAGGAAAAAATAATTAAATAATTTTATTTAAAAATTATTTTTAAAAATGTGAATAATAAAAAAGGCGTGAATAGACCTAAATAAAATAGAGATGAAACCCATTTTTTTCTTAAGATCGGCTTGATTTGACATCAAAAATTAAGACACTCCTAAACACAATTATATTTATTAAAATATTAAAATCACTTTTATTTAAATAATTTATGATCTTATTCTCAAAGTGATTTCATACTTGATTCAGATTTTATTTTCTAATGAAAGTGGTTTTTTCTATAAAAAAATTATAATTAATAAGTAGTTGTAATTAACATCATCAACCACAATTTTTTTTCTTTTTGAAAAAGCACCAAAATTAATTAAATTCATGTAAAAACAACGAACCACTAAAATTAATAAATGGTCACTTTAAGAGCCCATTTGTATACGCAATGCTTGACTTATCTTATCCTATTATATTAACAAGAGATGGATCTAGAATTTATGATTAGTGAAAATAAACATTTTAAATTAATTTAAAATTATTTATTAAAATATAAATTAATAGAAAAAATTACAAATAAAATTAAAAAATATAACATATTTTTTGCACATGAAAAAAATTTTGCTATAAAAAATTTTTTGTATAGTTAAAATTAATTATATGATTCTCAACAAATATAGTCAAAACATTATTTAGATAAATAAACTTTTAATATAGAAACACATATATTAATTGAATAAAATTTTACTTTTAAAATTCTTTAAAATAGATATAATATATGAAAGAAAAATATAAAATTTTAACATATCTAATTTTATTATTCACTTTTAATATGTCTAATTTTATCATTTACTTCAAATAAACAAACATATTTTAGTTCTTATTCATTATAATTTGAAGAATAAAAATGTCTCTTTTCTTAGATACAATGAAAGAAAAATGAAGATATAAATTTAAATAGTTTTTTTTTTATTTTTATTACTTCACATTTTATATGTTACTTTTTTGTATTAAATAAATGGTTAAAATCATTTTAAGTAATAGAAGCTCTAAGGTTCAATATTACCTCATATCAATCTAAATAAATTATTAGAAAAAATTTGAAATTTACTAATGTCAAACTCTCTAAAAGTAATTTAGTTTTTTTTACAAACTTATATATATGTATATGTGTGTGTGTATATATATATATATATATATATGTATATTATAACAAAATTAAGGATCAATGTTCAATAATTAGATAAACAATAAAATATTTTTTTGTTCTAGCCTTAATTTAGTGGGGGTAAATTTGATAAAAATATTTTTAGTGAGAGAAAAATTTTAAATTCTCAAAGCTTTTGAGATTTTTTATCAATAAATCTAAAAAAATTTAGGAACTAGTGGAGGTGGCTTGCCCCTCTAGCTACTGTGTACATCCGTCCCTGCTGCCAACTATGTACTTTTTTAGTTTCCAATAGATAAACATCACCGTCCACAAATAAAAGTAGAGCAATTTTTTTTAAAATCACTTTCAAAATCTATTTTTGAGGAAGAAATTTGTTTAATTAAAAAAATTGTTACTAGGAGTTGAAGAACCCTAATAATATGAATTATATGTCAATTCATAAATAAATATATATATATATATATATTGTTTCTCAGCAAAAGTCATTATATATAATAACTAGATTTTCGCCCGCGATGTTGATGTTGATAATTTTTTATCAAATTTTTATTTTTAATATATTGATTATTATTTTTTATAAAATTATATTTATTATTTATGTTAAAATAATAAATATATTTTTTTAGTAATTTTCTTGAGAGATTGTTTTTAATATATTATATAGATTTATAATAATTTAATAGTAGTTAAGTCTTATATAATTAATTTAATAAGAATATTATATTAATTTTCATAAAATGCTAAATATCCAATTTTCATGAAGTAATGGCAATAATATTTTAGTAATTTCATATGTAGTTAATTTTATATATTGTTAAAATTTAATATATAGTTTAATATGAGCATTATATAAATTTTGGTTAATTATGATAAAAGAGATATTTTCGTAATTATAGTAAAAAAGATATTATAATAATTGTGATCAGAGCATTTTCATAATTATGCTAAAAGAAACATTATAATAATTTTGACTAATTATATTTTAAAAAAATTATAATAGCAAAGCATCATAATAATTTTGATTAATTATGAAAGAAAAAGAATTATAGTGAATTTGGACACGTGTCAACTATTAATTAATTAGAGGAGTATTATAATAATTTTAATATATTTGTATAAATTTATTTTATTATAGTAATTTAATATGTAATTAAGTTTTATGTAATTTTTATAAAACAATAACAGGGGTATTTAGTAATTTAATATATAACTAATTTTACATATGATAAAATTTAATATATAATTTAATAAGAGTATTATAATAAATTTTAACCAAAATACCATCATTCTATAATATGATAGGTTAGCCATTATAATATTTTTGATCAATTATGATAAAAAAGATATTACAATAATTTTATCTCTGCACATAATTGAAAGAGTAATATAATAATTTTCAAGAGAATGGGTTTAATTAGATAGAATAGATAAGCTTGAATTTGGAGGAGCCACAAGAAATAGAGCAAAAAGCACGTCATCCCATTGAATCAAATATCTTTTGCAAAAATTCTACCCCATCCTCGAAGACAAAACAATTGGCCTTGAATCTGTCTGACCAACACATCTTTTGCTAAAGCAAAATGCCTTGAGATAAGTGATGGATCATAGATAGACTTCAACTTGAAATTGATCTTCTATTTGTGCTTTGTATCACTTTCCTCTGCTTTTATCTTATTTGTCGTTTGCTTCTTTGTTAAAAGCATAAAATTCCGATTGCTTAGTTCAATAATAAGACAAAAGGTAATATACTAACATAGTATAAGAGGAAAGAGTAGTAATAAATTATTTTATGCAAATAAAATCATAATATAAAGATAAAAATATACATAAATATTATAATTTTAATTTTAATTTATTAAAATATAAATATATAAATTAACTGAATTAAATTTCGATCAAATAACTCATTTGTTTCATTTTTAAGAGATTAGAATCTGGAGGATTCTTTTTAGCCTCTTTCTAGTGGCTGACCCAAGAAAATAATAAGCAAAAGGATGGCAAGGCTGCAAAATCCAGGAACATAATAACTCCTGTAGACCTCACTTTTGGCACCCTCTCCAATCAGGGCCATTGATAAATGAACGATGGAGGGATGCTTTTGGATTTCCCCAATGGAATCCAATCGATGATATTGGTATTCACTACATGGTATGTGCCATAAGGGGATTCACGTCTACCAAAATTGAAAAGGCCAATAATTATCATATGTGGACCATGCATGGATGATGACAGATCTCATACAGATATATATATATATATATATATTGAAATAATTACCTAAGAAAATTTATCATTACAAAAACACCATATCAGCCCAACTTCCAACTTGTTACCTGTCTCTTTCATTTACCAATTACCATAGAAAATTAGTAATATCAATATCAGCTGACACATGGTCACATGCCCAACCGTAGCATCCCACAAATTAAATATAAGAATTCTACTGAAAAATCTTAATGATTCTATGCTTGAAAGCAAGTACCCTTACCGGTCAATGGACCCCATGGGCTATGAGTGTCGTTCAACAGCCTGTACTTGTAAAGTCAATTGATCACTGAGCAGGATGAACTCACCTGAATGCAACTTGTAATAATACAATGAATCTATTTCTTGCTGTCTACTGTGGAGAGCGGAGGTGGTAGAGGAATTTCAGGAAATGGATTTACTTTATAAAAACAAGCAAGGATGTTTCCATCACCATGTTTACCATACTGGTTAAATTTTTTTGGTTAAGTGGAAACAGATTTTTGAGTTTTGTTCCTTATATTCTCCCTTCAAATTAGTTTAAATAGATTTATGTAAGAAAATAAATTTACAAAAAAATATTATTTTTATAATTTCTAATAAATTGGAATTCAAACAAGTAAAAAAAACATTCATTTATCACTTGAGCCAACACCTGTAAGTGATTAAACTTTAAATATAGCGATAAATTAATACAAGACTGACTCAAAGTCGTTATGATTAGGTTAGAAAAGCATCATTAGCTGCAAGCAACACATACAGAGGAAAATACCAGTCAAAAAAAAAAAAAAACCTACCGAGAAACTTGACTTTGTGGTTGTTAGTTGTTACCACAAGAGTGGTGACAAACACAGATGCCCAGCAATATAGGTGTAGATAGTAGCTTCAATCTAAGAAACCTGTATCATGTAATTATTTTCTCTCATGGTCCCCCACAGCATAATCTTCTTTCTCTTGATCTCATGGCAATAGAGCGGCCACGAAAGGAGCAGTTGTCTTTCCAAAAGTGCTGATTAGTCCTTTAAGTACTACGGGAAAGCCGTTTTGTCTATGGTCCATATGGGGCACCACAAACTGTACAAAACCAACCTAACTTGCTTATGACACAATCAGCATATGTTAGTTTGGAAGAGTTCTGTTATATCTGGCTTCCTCTTTCCTTATTTTTTTTTTTGGGTTCTTCAGCTACTATGTCTATATTCCATTTAATAACTTTCATCTGGGTCCTTCTGTCAGTAAGCTACCTTGTCTTTCTTACTTCTGCCTCATGGTGCCCGCACTTTGTTCAACAAACAACTCGACAATTCGAGCAGAAAACAGATCGATTCTGGGAGTTTCAAGAGCAATCCAACAGATGGGTTGAAGTGAAACTTCCTTTTGATCTTGTATCTTGTGTTAATGATAACTGTACTAAAGTAGGTTTTATTGATCAAACAAGAAGGACCAAAGAAGAGCACTTACAAAATGAAAAAGATGTTTCTAACCAAAAGAACTTAAAAATGAAGGATGGTGATATGGGAGGGCTAGAGGAGAACTCTTTTACAGTTTTGCCTCTAAGAAAAAGAATTTCCTTGACAAAAATGTCCGATACATCCATTTGGGTTACCGGTGAAAGTGGGTCTATCTATGAGAGGTTCTGGAATGGAGTCCAGTGGGTGATAGCACCACATGACCTGCACATATCAGCAGGTGGCGCAGTCTCAGTTTTGATTGTCAACCAGACAATTCTTGCTATCTCAGAGGAAGGGAATCTATACCAGGTACCACTAAGCACCAGTTCCTTTCAAATTTTCATTAGACGAAATAGTATGAACTAGACAGGATTGTATACTGGAACTTTTGAGTACTTTTAAAATCAAAACAATTACAGTGATGTTATATAAGTAAAGAACCAACCCTAGAATCAACCATCCTACTCAATTTTTGCTTCTTCCCTTTAATTTTGTTTTATTAGTTGTCTAGTTATCCTAAAGTTGGGTGGGATAAAGGTTGCAATTTGAATGAGATGAATTTCTTCCTATGGTTAGTGAACAAAGTAAATTTCAACTAAACAATATCGGGATCATTTCCCTTTGTGTAAGTGCCTGCAATTAAAAGGTTTCTACAATATTCTGATGGTCTATATTTACATGCACTAGATTAGAGTGACAAGTCATGTTAATAAGAGCTGCACCACAGAGCAGAAATAAAGCATGCACATAGAACCACTTCGATCATCATGCATATGTAGAACACCAAGAAGTCAAATGTTAATTATACTGAAACAAAGCCTAGTAGGAAAGTAATTCAATGGTGTTTTTCAAATAAGTAAACTATTAATGGAGGATCTCGGGCACCACAGCACCAGAATCAGGATGTATTCCAATCATAACTAACAGGAAATAAGGCCAACCCCAAGGCAAAGAACTTTTACATTATGTTTGTACGTTGGGGGAGTAGGAGAGAGTAGAGTGCAAAGGAGCAAAAGATTTAATCTAACCTGTTTGGAAATGAACTAACGTACCAAACCCTGAAAAGATAACTTCTTAAAATCCCTCAAATCGAAGGATTTTATAGTAAATAGTCCACTTTGATTATTTCATCTTGTGATCCCCCTTTTAGCCTACAAAATACAAATTATTTTCGTGATGATTTTAACTCAGGTTACAGTTGTAATTGAGCATAAACTTGCTATCAACTATACTCTCCTCTCCACTCCAAATAAGGCAGAAGTGCCATCACAGTCTACTTCAAAACTCCATTCTCAAATTTCTTAATCAATGGCCTCAATAATAAAAACATATAACATTTTGCAAAAGGGATTTACATAGATTGTCACCACAAGGGTTCCTTGATGCTATTATTGAATGATTTATCCTCCTCTTTTCAGATGCAACTCAGTGACAGCTCACAGCCAATTTGGGTGGAGTTCAAACCTGCATTCTATCAAAGTACAGACAAAGAAGCAGAACAGAGTTCAGTGATTCAAATAAAGTCCGGTACTGTTTCATATGATGGGCTGTAAGTACATTAATTCAATATTAAGAATTTTGCTTCAGGGAATAATACAAAATGGAGGGCCTTGGTCAAATTTCATTGCAAAATACATGCAATATGTCTCAACCAATAGTCGATTTTTCTGAACTCAATGCAGGAGAGTTTATTTCTGCACAAAGAATGGCTTGTTGCTGGAACTCAGTGAGGTTGAGCCTCCAAGGTAGAACTTTTTCGTTCAAATTCTTAATGCAAGTAGAGACCTTCATTCATTGCTACCATGTGATGCAAGTCTCATTTTCCAGTCTCTGTAAATGAGATTTAGATTCCAACAGGAGACTAATATCCTGTTGGGAATATGTGCTGTAAACAAAGAACAGGTGGGAGAATCATGGCCGACCACCAGGAGCAGATGTAGCAGCAATAGCTGACGCAGCTAGAATTAGATCAGAAGTAGTATATACAATAAGGTGCTCTCTCTTTCTCTCTGTAAGCACACAAACATCCAAAATCCTTAGCCATTTTTTTAGGCCAGTAAAGAGACATAAAATATCCTTAGTTTAACAAGGCATATTTTTATTCTCTTTGACATAAGGTTTAAATTTATGATGGATAAAATTTATCTTATCTTCTGTTGTAATTTTATCACTATACTTTCCAATTTGATTCAAAAATGGTCAAAAGTTAAAAATTTTGTAAAATATTCCATTATTTCTTTTGCCATTAACTTTAGACTATTTTGGAACCAAATTAATAAGTACAATGGCAAAAAATTGCACATGTTTGAAGATAGCAGTAAATTTGATTCACCACCTTAAGCAGAGTGGTAAATTCAAACCTTATTCCATTCTTTTTTAACAAATACATAATTCAGTTAGCTGGAAGAAAAGCATTGTCAAATAGAGAAATCAATGCACAATAAAATAAAATAGTCACCAAAACAAGCTCCGAAGATCTGAGGGAAAGAATTATGTGTGAATATGTATGTTGTTATAAGAGTATAAATTATAATCTGTTGTTTATTTTCAGCTTTATGATTACCAGAGTGATTATCCAAAAAAAGGTGAGCTAAACATGAAATGATGCAATAGTTCTACAGGTCATCTCTATGAATATGATAAGAGCTCGAGGCCATCATGGAAGAAGCATCTACAAAGTGAAGAAACTGTGAATGATGGTTCTCTAATACCATTACTGGGGTGTACGATACATGGCATGAGTGGAGATCACTCTGTATCCTTGTTTCTCCTAACAAAGGTATTCTGAGTAAACAATTCATACTCTCACATATCACCAATACTGACAAACTAAATACACATTAGAGCACCAAAAGATTTGTACAAATCCTATAATTCTAAACTTGATATTATGTCTTACAAACTTCTTCAAATATTCAGGGAGGTAAATTGGTTGAGAGACGACTACATCAAAGGAAATGGAAATGGATAGCCCATGGAAGTCCAGAAGATCATTACATGACATCTGTTACTCCCCTACTGGAAGATGAGCCAAATGAAAGGTTCTTCTCATTGTTTCTCACTACATCCACTGGATCAGTTTTTGAGTATCGAATACCAAAGCATTCAGGTAAGTCACGTGGTGTTATAAAGCTCTCTTTTAATTTTTTTTCTTTTAAAGAAAAAGAAAGAACTGAATAGCTTTATAGGTAATCTCCCTTAAATGATATCTAAAAAATATTTTAGTTTTTTTGAGGTTAAACCATATGGTTCCCAGATATTCAAGCTATATATTTTTTTACTATGGTGCTCAAACTCTTCATTTTCCTTGAAGAACTGGTGTCTGACATATATCCGACCAGCATAGTTATGGAAGTATGGTTCTACAAATATATGAAAAACTGAGAAAAAAATTGAACATACTTGTGCCAGACACATAACCATATCTGACATTCACACCCCAGTTCAAGTAACATAATTTTTTCTTAAATCAAGATATTGATGTCAATAGTAATCTCATTCTGAACCACATCAGAATATAATTCTAATAAACATTTCCACTAAGGTGCACCACTGTATTTTTTGCTTTGCTTGTGATCGAGAAACCAGTTAAAATATGTGGACATGAAAGAAGCTAATACAGTCCATCAAAAAGTAGAAAAGAAATAATAAGATTTAGAACACCATAAGTAAAGGTAACTGTAAATTGTGGAAACCAATAATATCAGATATTTCCACATCTAATTATACATATGCCAACAGCCTACAAAATTTAAGGATTGTAGTCACTTCCAAATACTCCTATATATCAGAGCAATCACTTATTGACATAAAGCTGAAGAAGCATGAAAAGACTGAAGGAAAAATGTCTCGAGCGGCCATGACAGCAGATAATTTAGCAAGTCAAAATGAGGGAGTAGATGATAAAGCAATCAGCATTGAGTTCAGCAGTAAAAAAAGTTTCCAAAAGAATTTGAAATGCAACTTCCAATTCAACGAGTTTAATTAAATAATAAAGATGACTCAAATCTTAGCTGCAAAAAACTAACAACAGCAGAAGTAGCTAGGTTCCTTGAACCAAATTCACTTCCAAAAACTCTAAAGTCAATCAGGTAGGACAAATGAGGTTGTCCATTCTTACGTACCTGTAATTCTGGGAATTCAAGACTTTTATTACATGAAACCTCCAAGCAAGATAGGATAAATGCACGAAATCATGTAGTGTTAAAATAATGATGCATTTGCATTACCTACAAGTTACAATTTTCTAGAAAATCTAGCACCAAGACTACATCCTTGATGTAACTTTTACGTGTCAAGATAGGTACAGCTCAAGAGAACCAAATTTCAGAAGCATGGCTGAATCATATGCATCCACCAAACACAAAAGCTGCAAGAGGTATTGCAGGACTCAAATTTCAACCTGGCAGGACACTGTTTGCACTGGATGATGGTAGACTTGCAGAGTTACATATACCTGGCCTAGGTGGTGAAAATTCTGGGCCAACACATCAATTTAAAATGCGAAAAAAATTATCATCTAAGTATGTCTGGTCAATACTAGATGCCCCCGAGACAGAAGGATGGAATGCAGAGTATTGCACAGAAGAACGTGCACCTATGAATTGCATAGCAGGAATAAAAGATGAACCAAATGATTCAGGAAATACAAGATCACTGACAAGGAGAAAAGGTAATAAAGCACAACAGGATTACTTATCTCTAGGCACTTCCAGGAGTAGAGTAGTGAAAATATCAGAAGAATATAGTATCCCAGACAACTGGATCAACATCAACTTCCGACTGAGGGTGATGCAAGCAGGTGTATCATTTTTTATCATAACAGATGGTGGTTTGACCTTTGAATATCTTTACACTGAGAGTGTATGGCTCTGGTTAAGACATGATCATTCAACGCCAATGAGAGGTGCCCTGGGAAACTACAATGTAAGTTTATTTTTTGTTGATGTGTATGGAACCTTGCTTATCAGAGAAAGGAGCGGCAATGAGCTAGCATGGATAAATTGCACTGCAATGAGGAAAGGAAGGCAAGTTGTTGCAGGCCCTCCTTGGGATGGTATGCCAGGTAAACTAAAAGTCACAGCAGAAGATGCACTCTTCTTTGTGAGCAAAAGCGGAAGACTACTGCAGTTCACAGTAAGTTGCAGAAATCAAATAAAATTAGAAAAGCAAACAGATTAATTAATCATGGTTTGTTTATTTAATTTTTCTTTTCCTCCTAAAAAAGAAAACAAAGAAAAGACAAAAAGGGAAAGATAACAACAATTCTACTTTTTTGTTTGAAATTCTTCCATAAGACATACAAACCTTGAATTATATATTCAAGTACTAATCAATTTATCTCATTTTCACCATATTATACCTAAAACCATTTTACTAGAGAAAAATTCCAAATTATCCCTTATGCAGCATCACATTCTGAGGATCCAAAATCGCATTGCACAGTGTCAGGGGCAACTGAGTACTAGTTAAAGTTAAAACTATAAAATGAAAATTTTAACACTTCAAACATAATTCCAGTATCTAGACTTCAAAAAGTAGTGTACAGATTCTTTGAAATGTTCCAGCAGTGCTGCACTAATCACCATCCTTAAATGTCATGTAGGTTGCCCTGAGGAAATTCAAATGGAAAGATTGTCGAAACCCTCCTGAAACCAAACTTGCATGCATAATAGACCAAGAAATCTTTAGGGAAAATATAGTGTTTGTTGTTGGAAGAAATGGCCGGCTCTACCAGTATAACAAAGTAACTGAGTTGTGGCATGAGCATTACCAATCTCAGCATTTGGTTCTATCCAGGTTGCCAGGAACTGCTATGAGGCCTTCGTTATTTTCACTAACAGGTTCACTTTTCATGCTTTCGGAAGATGGTGGACTAGTTGAATATCACTGGAATGCATGGGATGGCTGGACCTGGGTGGAACACGGCACTCCATGCAAAGATGTTACCTTGGTTGCTCCTCCCGGACCATGTTTCCAAGGCAATCAACTGTTTTTGATAGGTTCAGATGGAAACGTATACCTAAGGTACATGGACCAATTGACATGGAGATGGAAAAACTGTGGTTTCCCACATAATGGAGAGAAATCTACTGAAGATCAAACTGAAATGGGAGCCCATGATAGAAAGGAAGAAGTTAGTATTGATAACGATCTCACAGCTAGTTTTGATGACAATATGGAGAATCCAAATGATCCCAACAGAAACTGTGACCCAAAGGTTTGTATCCAGCTATTCACACTCACTTATTCCTACAAGTCTACAGCAAACAGTGATGTTACACTGATTTTAAAATCTCTACAAATACATACAGGTTGCTCCTACAAGACCAATTCCATTTTCTGAAGATTCGGCTATATTTGAGCTAAGAGACGACAGAGTAAGCAATCAAAACCACAATTATCTATGTTTCTAGTTTCCAACTTCCTTTAGTTCTCCTAAGTAACCAAAACATAGCCATACAAAGTATATAATAAACTTCATGAACGTGTCATACATAGAAACAAATTTCAAACAAAAATGTCATCATAAATTATAACTCACTAAATAGCATGCAAAACTTAAGTTCTTCACATCATTTTTGTCAAGTTTTTCCCAAAAAAAAAAAAATTGCTGGGGTCCATGACAAAATGAATAACTTTAAATATGAAAACTTAGGCTTTCCTTGATAGGAAGGAAGGAAACTGATAACGATGGAAAACTTATTAATCCAATGATTAAATTTGATAACCATTTTCCTATTTTGTAGCCTAACCTTTAAATTAATAAGTTTACATCCTTACCCCTTTTCATTCTCTCTACCAAGTAAAGCCTTAATTTCATTGGCCAACTTGTAGAAAAAGATATAAAGAACCTTATCGAAGCTTTGTTGGGACTGAGCAATGAATAAGAAGCTAATGAAAATTATTAAATGTTGCAGTTGGCAGAAATTCGGGAAGTTGATGACACACAATGGGTTTGGGTACGGATCATTGGCACTCCAACAAGCTCATGCACATCAAGTTACTGGACCGCTTTGGCATCATGAAAAATCAAACAATACCCCCTCCCCCTACCCAACGCCCCCCCAAAAAAAAAAAAAATTTACAGCTATTACAGTTACACAGCAGCACACATTAGAATTTAGGTATAAATTTCAATGTATATTAAACAAACTACAGAATTTCAGACATAATGTATAGCTTTAAAAACTTGCAAAAAATCCAAATATAAACAAGATTTTAGAATTTTACTATTTGGCTTCCAACAGATTATAGTTTTAACAATGCAAAGAATTTAAAGTAAAAAGTTTCGCAAGTTGCATGCAATAAAAGAATATTAGGGGCTTAGAGCCTTTGTCCTGTGATAACTGATGATCATGATTTTAATTTCAACTCAATTAGATTAATATCAATTTTTAATTTTTATACGAGATTGTGAGTAAATTTCAGGTTCTCATGTACACTAAAGAAGAAAAAAAAAAAAGAATTAATACATTTTTTAAAATGGTATGTTTAATTCAAAAATGAAAGAAACTTACCTGAATTTGAAATTTGGAGAGATTTTTCAACTTGAAGCATCACTTTCCGACTGAAAATTGAGATAATATTTTTCATTTTAAGAAATAAGAGTTCGGGTTTTGACCCTTTTCCCCGATTTGGGTTGCGACCCGGTTTTTTACCATTCATTTTTCACCGACTTTTCATCTTAAAAAATTTAAAAAATTAAAACGACATCGTTTGGAGATCTTTTATGGTTTTATTTGTGTTCTTTTTTCTTGGGTCCGGAAATCCGTTAACCGAGTCATCCATGGTGGTTTGTGGGGGATGGTTAATGGTGGGAATCGGATCTCTTGTCTTGCCTGGATTTCGCTTCACCACTTATACCTCGAAGCTTCTTCTGTCGAAGTATCCTCTGATTGCAGCCATCCAAAACGACAGGTAATATCAGTTTGTCGTTTTTATGTTCTTCAATTTTCCTTCGATTTCATTTTTAAAAGGGATTTTACCTTTACATAGAACAATTATATCTGAATATAGATCTTAAAATTTTAGACACAACACAAAAATATACAAAAAAAAATAAGACATGAAAGTAATTCAGTTAAAAATTTTGATAAAAACTATTACGGATTAGACAAAACTAAAAAATATGTTTCGTATTTGACGTCTTGCGATAATTTTCATGTTTTACCCAATATAAACACAACACGATTGAATATATGACAGTAGTAGTACATTTTAATCAACTAAGGCAAATTTTAAAGTAAATAGAAGGTAAATGAGAAGGAGTAAACACAAATAAAAGTAACAGATTAAATCGAAGCTTTACTTATTTTTTGTATATATTTTTTTTAATTTGATAGAAGTATAATCTCAAAAATGTTTGAACAGAGAAGCAGATTAATTATCTCAGTTCTTTTTTCGCCAGCTTATATGTGCAAGGATGGTAGCATTGTTTATGTTTAATCTCTCTATTAGCCTTCGGCTATTTTGGCATGCTGTTATCCGTATCTAATACATACACTTTGGTTGCTTTTTTTTTTTTTTAAATACTTGATACACTTTGGTTGCATGTCTGTTTGCAATTGCTGATTTAGCTGATTTTTGGCTGTTGCCTGGGCTGCTAATCTTTGTCAGTGATGGCAAAGAATAGCATAGTTTTCTCTTTTTCCCTTCTTTTAACTTTCTTTTCCCATATCCAAGATTTTTTTGGGTATCCAAGTATAATATATATATATATATATATAACTGCTGATGTATTTACCAATTTTATCGACGACAAGAGTGTCCAAGAGAAAATTTTTGGGGTGTTCAAAGGAAAATTTTCCTTCAAATTTTCTTATTTTCCAATCTTTGGGGTTATCCATGACATCTTACCTATATATGTGGATACGCCTCTGGTCTGGGCTAAGCTAGCAATGCTTAATGTTTTTGCATTGTTATCTTTTGTCGGTCTAGGTAATTTTGGTAAATATGCAGTTGGATGTTCTTGTTGCTAGTGCTACAGCCTACTAGGCATAAAAATATGGCAAAACAGATATGTGTGTTGATATTCCGGCTACCTGTATATGCCTATCTATCCAAACAGAAGGAATAAAGGTAGCAAGAGAAAGGTGAAAGGCCAAAGTGGGGATGTGGTGCAAAGGAAAACGACTCATAAGGGAAACACTTTGTGATTAGAGTTCCCTCAAGTTGAACTTCTGCTTTATATGATTTTTTGTGGCTTGTACGAATGAGCATGGTGGATTCATTTTCAAATTGACAGTTATCTTTCCAACTTGTTGATGATTGATCAAATTAGTTTTTGTTAAAGTGGACAGGCAAAAAAAACCATCAAGATTATTTAGGCTAGTTTGCTTTTACGATGGTTGCAAGTGTTGCAGATGTGATGTAGTTCTGTTACTTGCCTACCAAGGCAAAATCAATTAGCCTTGTGCTTGGCTGCATATTAAAATTAGATTTGACCAATTATACATTCCTGTCAAACGTGTAAAAATACGAATGGACACGTCAAACACAACACATTTTTTTGTTTTTGTCAAATCCGTATAAAATTTTTATTAATATTTTAAATTATGTAGCTTTCATTTTTTATATTATGTTATCATACCGTGTTTAAATTTATCATATCAAATTGAAACGTGTTATAAAATATTTTCTTTTTCTTTTTTACACTATATGTTCAAGCTTTACAGGTATTTCTTTTTATTATTCATGACTTCAAAATATTGAAGTCCCAATATGTTTTTTCCTTGATTCTCGCTTCCCTTTCTTTAACAGGTATTACGGCTGCTTGGTGCCGTTAACACTTCCTGTACTTGTGGTTGCGGTATGTTTCCATTGGCTTAGCATGAAATTATTCAAGCATGCATGACATCCGTAGCAACAACCAATGAATCTGAGGAAACAAAGGAATGATATTTGGAAATGAGAGGTAAACTGAGGTAGGTGCTCCATAATGTCAATTTTGGACATGTGATAATACTGAGTTTTTTTTTTTTTTTCTTCCTTTATTGTAATCTTGGCAATTTTTGTATATATATTTATTTATTTGTGTCAAATACCTCTAAAATACAAAAAAAAAAAAAAATTATCACAATTTATGTCAACATTTTATTCTTTTTGTCAATCTTATATATGAATTTTATTAAAATTTTAAATCGTATCATTATATATCTTATTTTATATTGTATCATCATGTCATGTTTAAAATGATCAGATGTACTATTACATGTGTATAAATAGAAAGTTTGCAGATAGCAGATGCAAAATTAGATAAAATATTCTGCAGTCCCTTAAAATTAACCCCTCTTTCACTTATATTTTATGTTTCTACTTTGTATCAGTGACAGGCTTTGCTGTTTGATATGTAAGTCGACTTTGTAATCAGAATGATCTTTCCTGTAGTTTTTTTTTTCCTATTGGATGTAGTTTCTCAATTTCTTTACATACTAGTTATGAGTCAAGTTAGGCCTAAGAGTTTTGATGATCCTTTTATTTGTTACCATCTCAAAATCACTATAATAAAGAGTAAAAATCACTATTATCTCTCTGACAAATGGTTTTGAAAGCATGCTCTTTTTGTTTTTGGTTTTCTTTGGTTGATTTCTCTTTCTGAATAAAATGATTTTCTTGACTGAATTCCTCCTTTTTACCTACAGGGTACAGGGTGGTAGATTTGGTGGATTAGCGTATAGCAATTATTGATGATTGATTATAAAATAACCTCAATAATCTAATATTATCCACTCTTACAAGTTTCATCCACTTATTTTGTCCCCACCATCCACTTTAAAAAAATCATGATTAGATTCAATGATCGTAAAGGATGACATTTTAAGAAAATGATAAAATAATAAAATAATATATTATTTAAAATTTTAATAAAAATAAAATAAAAATTTTAAAAAATAAAAATTATATTTCATATTTAATGTATCAATACAAAATATAATATGATAATTTTTATATTTTATATGTATTTAAAATAAAATAAATATACAAGTTATCATATTTAATCGAATTTTTTTATTTTTTTTTGTCTTTCAACGGGGTTATAAGCTAAAATGTATATTTTTTTTATTCAAGTACAAGTTCTTACCCCCACCAATGAACGATTATAATAATTAAAAACACATGATCATTTTATGTTTATCTTCTTCCTAATTTGCAAAAACGATTGGCCAATTGGAAATTAAAGTCATTTAAGCTAGTAAATAGCTTTTACCTCTTGGTTTGAAGTTTCTTTCTCTTTGTTTTTCATTTTTACTGTTCTTTTCTTTGCCTTTCTCGGACAACTGAAAATTTTTGTTTCTGTCTCTCAGCCAACTCTTCTCTGCCTTCTCTCCAATGTTTGGCACAGCCATTCTAGTAGCTGCAAACATAACACTGTCAGAAGGCAGTCCTTTATTATTTTCAGACAAAGATAGATTTAAATTCCAATTGTCATGTTTGTATTGGTTGATATAATGCATGCAGACATGGCAAAATCCAACCCACAAAAAGATAAGCTATTAGTGTTCTGTTCCAACAACAGTTCCAATAACCTTATCTCCCCCAAAATGGCCATTTCCAGTTCTCCAGACTGGTCATTACCTTCAACTGATTCCTACACATCAAAACCAGTAAGTTTGGTCTCTTTTCATGATGCAAAACCCTTCACCTTGTCTCATTCCCCAGCTCCAACCTTCCATTATTCCACATCAACTCCTCAGGTTGTCCATTTTCTATCCTAGAAGATGTATCAACCAATGTGCCCATCACCAAGTTGGGCCTAAAATTTCATGATCCCCAACATTTTTCTCTACCAGATTTGGATAATTTAAATAGGTTTTTGTGTGGGTTATTTCAGGATATTCACAGTGAAGAGCTAGCATATGATTACCATGAGAAAGCAAAACAAAGGCCTGAATTCATACCACAAAAACCAAAGTTAAGCCTTCTAATCAGGTACTTGGTGCAATCCAAGAAATGGGATTTAATCATATCTCTTTCAAAGGATTTTAAGCATTAACATGTCTTGCCTGATGGTTATACTTGTTCTAGACTAATCAATACTTGTATTAGACCTAGAAAATTCAAGGTTGTGGAGACTTTGCTTGAAGTGTGTAAATCAGATGAGGAAGTTGCTGTCATTGCATTTCATTCAGCAATGGCAGGTTATAACAAGTTGCACATGTTTATAAGCACAATTGCTTATCAATGAAAATTTTCAGGATTCGGAATCTTATTGCCAGATAATGGAAGCTCATTAGCAAATTGGCGGTATGGACAAAGTTTCCTTATTTTTAATGAATTTGAAAGTAGGAAGTTGAATTTAACACCAGTTGCACGTAGCACATACAGTATTCTTTGCAAGTCAATGGCTAAATCAGGTCGAACTTATGAAGCTCTTGAATATTTCAAAGACATGACAAAGAAAGGAATTTTGTGAGTTCTTCAGTTTGCTGTTCCTTGATACACTCATTTTCGAACATTGGTGATTTAACTGTGGTTGAAGAAGTATTCAAAGATGCAGAGGAGAGGAGAATCGTAAGGGATCAAGAAGTGCTTTTTAAAACTTGTATTGATGTATATAGAAGAAAGGTTATTAGAGAAAACTTTGGAAGTTGTGATGGTGATGAAGAATACAAACATAAAGGTTTCTGATAGTATTTTCTGCACAATAGTCAATGGCTTCTCCAAAAGAAGAGGGTTTCGTTCTGCCATTGTAGTTTATGAGGAGCTGCTTTTTCAGGGCTGAAACCAGGTCAAGTAACTTATGCCTCGACCATAAATGCCTACTGTCGCAAACTCGAAAGCTGAAATGGTATTTTCAGAGATGGAACAGAAGGCGTTTGATAAATGTTTTGTGGCATATTCTAGCATGATGGCAACGAATGGGAAAGCAGGGAGCATAAGAGATGCAATGAAGCATGTGGCTTAAATGAAACAGAAAGGGTTTCAACCAAATGTATGGGTTTACAATTTTTTGATGGACATGCATAGGAGAGTCAAGAACTTGAGACACGTAGAGAAGAGTTGGAAAGAAATGAAGCAAAGAAAGGTGGCACCGGATAAAGTTAGCCACACTGCTATCCTTAGAGCTTACAATACAGCAAGGGAGAATGAGATGCGTGTGAAATTCTACCAGGAGTTTAGGTTAACCAGGGAATTAATCTACAAGGCTATGGCTAGCATCATAGTTGGGGTTTTCTCTAAAACAAGCCCGATCAATAAGTTGGTGAAGCTTCTGCAGGACATTAAAACCGAAGGAACTCAGATGGATGGCTATATCATTCAGCTATGAATGCCTTGAGGGATGCTGGATTGAAAAGCAAGTTAAATGGTTGCAAAAGAATTTTGATGCTATGTAAATTACCTAACATGCTAGAATATTGAGGTGCACACATGAATGGCACTTGACCTCTCAAATTTTGATATCCAGGGTATATGTATTGAAGATCTCACCTGTATTGCTTCCAGCTTTAACACCAGAAGCTTTTTAATGGACGATAGTAGGATCTGCCAAAATGCTTTGCATAATTAGAATAAATTGTGATTATTTATTTTTCAATCTAGATTCATTAAGAAAACTCAGGGAAGAGATCTTTTACCTTGACATGTATTATGAGACCTTCAATCATCTACAAGTAGACTATATAGTAGATATACAATTGCTCTCACCGCATTTAGTAATATAATACATTCAACCATAGGATGGAGCCAGACATTCATCAACCATATCCACAAGGTTTGGGTTTTCTAGTGCTGCAGCAACACGTTCTTTATCATTCAGTTGTTTATTAACTGCATTACAGAAGAAAAAAGGAATTAGATAATCCATTAACTGCAACATTATGCACACAAGCTTTGTATTACTATATTTGACTCCTATTTCTATCATATAATAGTTAGTAGTTATTAATTAGCAAGAGAAACATTTCCCACCGTGAAAGGAAGATAAATTGGGGAAGGAATTAAATTCAACCTAGACCATAATGTGAAAGCGGTACCACACTTCTTTATAAAGTTAATCTAGAAATCTCCCTCTGAAAAATTTTTGGAAAACGAAGCTGGCATTGACTACTAGAGAAAAGGAGAGACAGTGTATGCAGCTTCAGTTGCATGAGTTCCAGTTGTGATCCTTATATCCATCTAAACACAAATAAAGAACAATCATTAGCATGGGTAAGGTAACGGGGAGTCAGAGACTGAAAAAGAGCATAACAATTTGCAAAGAGACTCTGCAGAATAAACGATGTATAATTTAAACATGACATGTAGGAACAAATAACTCCAAATAATTTGATTACATCGTTAACGAACAAACCATGCAGATGCAGAAAATTTTGTGGAACAGGTTTTTCTTATAGGAGCCTAGTAAGAACTTTTCATCAATTGATTTATTGACCACTCATCTTATCTGAACTAGTAACTATCAGTTGAGGTATGGGGTTTGAAATGATAAAGCCCTGCATATGGGTTTGGAAGCCTCATATCCTCATATGGACAGTATAAGCAGAATGAGAAAAGGGCTTCACATGTCGGACATATTGCTCCATTAGCAATAAATGACGTTGGAGTTACCTGCTCCATTTACAAGAAGAAACTTCAGTCTCAAATTCGTCTAGCACTAAAGTTCAAGCAGCAAATTTGAAAGTATTTAATATGCTATGAATAACCCCAATGGAATTTTAGTTATCAGTGCAATTTCTGAAGCAAAACAAGCAGCTCAGATCAACAGTGCATCTCTAGTGAGATAAGAATCAAAATTCTAAGTCTCGGACTTCAGGTTTTAAGATGAAAGAAATGAGAAACAAGTTCAAAGGTTGTAAGTCTGAAATGCAGAAGAAGTAATGACTACCTTTCTATTTCATTGAACTAATCCAACAAATTTAGGAAATTTCTTTTCTTCTCCCCAATTTTCTACCATCCAATCAACACATAAAATGCTTATGATCAGGGATACTAACATTATTTGGGACTAAGCTCTTATCCGCCCATTCCTTAACCAAAACAAACAGGAAAACAAACAGATTGGCTTTACATAATTCATACAGCACTAGATTAGCACAAAACGTAGAAAGGAAAAGATAAGGTTAGAAACATAAATACCTTGTAGCGAGAAGGGAGAATCCTCATAAGTTTGACTCTCAAGCAAAGACCAATAACCGTAGCCACACTACAATGTTCAACAGTAGGAATAAATGTGACCCTGAATAAGAAACAAACCAACAAGAAAACCATTTGAATAGATTGAATATGATAGAAAATGAGGAAGAAGCATATGAATAAGAGATAATTTGATCATTTTACCTAACATAACTATAGGTGTTGTCTACTTCAATGGCATCTTCAGTTATTACTTTAAGCTCTTCCAAAGAGTAGGGATGCTCAGGATCCTTTATATCTCTAACCTGATAAGAATATTAAGAAAATCAGAATAACTTGCTCCACATAACTTAATGCAAATATGGAAACATTATTATCAATAGCATGTTAATTTGGATATGAAGAACTAATACAGAAAAAGTAAACTTGAATAACTTGCACAAAGGAAAGGGATTAATCAATAGTAAGAATAGAACAATAAGGATATCAAAAATTTCTTGTTAGTCAATAGGTTCGACGGCATATTCATCAGGTAAAGTTGCTACGTTACAAACGCGCCGCTCTTTCTTCTCGTACACGACCGGATTTGCAATTATCAAACCGGACACCATAATTTCTGAATTCAATAAACAAAATCAAATTATAAAAATAAATCAACCTCACTGCAACTCCTCTTTTCTACCATAATATGAAAATAAATGTTTTTGGTTTATCAAGTAAAAATAAATCAACCTTACAATCACTGCAACTCCTTTTTTCTACCATAATATAAAAATAAATGTTTTTGGTTTATCAAAATTGCAGACCTATGGTTTCTACATCCATTCAAAGGGACAATTTGGCTTGATGATCAAAATTCCTGTTTGTTTTGGTTAAGGAATAACGATAGAAACCGTAAGGCTACAAATTTGATCATCAAGCAAATAAATGAATATTAGTATGTAAGTTTAGATAATTTTATAAGAAATTAAGCAAAATCCTCCCAAAATTTACCGATTTGCAGTGCACAGCCGGGCATCCTAGACACTCGACAAAGGGGCAAAGTAATAGCGGGAAGGTTATGTGAGACAGGAGATTAAATGTAGAGAGTTAGTGTTTTATCGAAGACAAAGATTAAATGGATTTAATCAACAGACAATGAACAATTGCTAAGAGATCCAAGAACAGATACGGAAATTGGACAAAGATCCAAAACCAAGAGGTAAAGGTATGTTGCTTTTTTAACGGCTAGGTCTTTGTCTCAAACAGGGTTTTTTCAACGCACTTTGGATCGAACGGCTAAGCGTCCAATCCGTTGTAAATATCTGTCCGCTCATTGAAGTTTGTATGAAGAGTGGTACTATTTGTATCCCATCTTCCTCTTTCCATATTTCATTATTATTAAAACCTAATTTTTTACTCCACGCACTCCAAAATCAAAATATAAATTTATCAAAAGTTTTCATCTCCTCTAATTTTATTTCTTCTCCATTCTCAACCTAAAATCTAAGGAAATGTATGAATAAATATTTATAAAAAAATAAAGAAAAAAAAGAAAATATTTTAAAATATATATATGTATCTATTATTTAGATAATTAAAATTAATAAAAAAAAACAAATTTAACAACCTTTGGATAAAACGTGAAAAAAAATAATTTATTATAATAATTTTTTTCAATTATAACTTTTAATTGCATGTGATTTTAGAGTACTTTTTAGATTATGATATATTTTATTTTGTATGATTTTATAATTGCTATTATATTAGTAGTTTTTAATCAAGTAAAATAAAAAATATTTTACAAATATGCATTTATGAATTTTTTTGTTATTGCTAAAATTTCAACACATTATCACTTTGACGATGTATTCATATAAAAGCTATTAACTATAAAAAATACAATCATATAAAAACATTATATCTCATAAACTAAAAAAATTATGTCTATTCATATGCAATTATTCATCAAAATCAAATTACTAAAATATTATAAAAAAATTTTATATTGAAAAAAACATATAAAACTTACTTAAAAAAATAGATAACTTAAAAAAATTTGCAGGAAGATTATGATGCAATTAGGTTTTTTTAATTAGAATTTTAATATTAATAAAATGATGGATATAATAATCTTTTTTATAAAAATAAAATTTTTTCAACTTTCTTTTCTTTAGCTTTTCCTCCAAATTGAGATATTAAAAAAATAAAAATTATAAGAAAAATTAAAGGTTATTAAGTTTTCACATCTTTTTATTTTCTTTAAATTAAAAATTCATCCAACCAAATGAATGGTCTTTCTGTTTCCATTTCTTTATTTATTTTCCTTTTCTTTCTTTTCTTTTCCCTCAATCCAAACATAGTATAAAAGATTTTAAGCCTCAATCAAATTAAATTAAAAAAAATACCATTTACAGTTTAAAAAACATAAAATTAAAAGTGAATCATTTGTTTTTTTTTTTTTTTGGTTTGATTTTATATTTAATTTCTTAAAAGTTTATATTAAAACATTTGAATGTGATTCGAAATTTTAAAAATAAATTTATAAAAGTTTTTAAAGATTCTCAAAATAGACGTTCAATTTTAAAAAATCTTTAAGAATTTTTAAAATTAAATTTTTGAAAAGAGGTATAAAAAACAATGTAAAACACATAAAAATAATTTATTAATAAAAATTTAAATAATTTCGTTAAAAATTAAAATTTTAAGATGTCTAGATAAAAAATTAGACTACAAATAGCAACACTGTTATATGAAAGGTCATCCCATTTCTATACTAGTACTGCATGAAAGATCACTTAATAAAATTAATTAAATTTTATATATTTATATATTATTTATTTAATTATTTAATTTTATTATTTATATAGGTAAACACCTCAAATTTAAAGTAAATTAAAAATAGTTAACTATTTATTAAAAAATAAAAAAAAGTTAACTTTTATGTATATTAAAATATATTTTTATCAAAATAATAGATATTGAATTAAACTTTACAATTAATGAAGCATTAGTTTAACGGTAAGGAGGAGCCTTACTTTTTAATTTGTTAAATAATTTATTTATTTGATTATTTTACAATTATAAATGTAAGTAATGTTTGAATATGATTATAATTTATACTTATAATATTAAAAAAAACTTTACGTACTTAATCAGTATTAATAAGTTATTAAATCTAAATATTGATTTATAAAAATACTAATTACCCATAAACTTATAAAAAAATGTAAAATAAATTAATTTTGTATCAATAATTTTTTAAGTTTATTTTGTTTAACCTTTATTATTATTATTTTTTTTACAATTACATGAATGATTATAAAATTGGAATTGCTTCTGAATTTTTTATTTGAGCTTATTTGATATAAATATAGCCAAAAAAATGAAGCTAAGGATTGATCATGCAATCATCGTATAAATGTAGCGAAAATTAAAAAATTTTAACTCCAAAAATTAAAGATCACACATTGATTTTATTGAATACAACAAATGCCAGCAAATCGATAAGTGCAGAATTTGTTTAGCTTCATCAATACAAGTATGATAATATTTGGTAAAAGATTTATGTAATTGATCAGCAAAACTCTAGCTTATTTAGTCATAAGTTTCATTTTAATTTTTCGGGTTTGTATATTTGAAAATTTTTAAAAATTTTAAAAAATATAAATTTTAAAGTTTTTAAAAATTTTCATATATATAAATCTAGAGACTTGCAAAATCATAAGAAAAATAAATTTTTGTTTTCATTTGAAACTTAACAAAAATACGTTTCTGTACATCACATGTTTAAAATATATATATATATATAAACATAATTTACAGTGTTTAATCTCATTCAATCAAAAAAATAAAAAAAAATATTAACTCTATATTAGAAAGGATTATTTGAAACTATTTATCTCTTCAGAAATTTGAGATTTTAAGTATTGATTTAATTAAGAATTGAAAGGAGATTGAGAGTTTAGGGTTAAATTGGTTTGGGAGAAGGAAACAAGGGAATAGGGATATGAAACGAATTCTAAATTTTGGTGAGGGGTATACTGAGAAAGAGTGCGTTGCTTTTGAATTGGGATATTAATAGCAATCAGACATAAAAAGCAAAATTTAAGGTGCATATGAAAGCTCCCTTAATGAATTAGCATAGATTAAGAGATATAATTGAATCGAGTCAAGTTGATACAATAAAAAATTTGAATTTGACTCTTAACTCGCAGTTTGATATTCGGTTCAAATTCAATCGAGTTTTACTTTTTTAATTTGAGTTCGATTCGTGATCAATATTAAGCTACTCAATTAAATTCGATTAATATATAAAAATAAGTTCGATTCGTATACTCGACAAGAGTTCGATTATTTGTGTTCGAGTTTGAACTCGAATTTAAGATATTTTATTAATTAAAATAATAAAAATATATTTAATATATAAAAGCTCGATTATGCTTGTGAACTATTCGAGCCGGATATAAGAATACTCAAATTCAACTCGATCGATAAGTCGAACTACTCAAATTCGAGCTCAATTCAATAATAATCGAATCGAATTTGAGTTTTATTCTAATCAAACTAAGTAACTTGCGAATACAATGTATCATTTATACCTCTAATATAGACAATTACAATCACGTTACTATTTTAATAGTCACGTCATCAATATTTTGATTGTCAGATTATTCACATTCATACATATAATCACATAATCAATATTTTAATTATCTAATTATCAACATTGGTACGTGGGTTTAAGATAAATAATTGTAAAGATTCACGTTCACCTTATAAAATATTACCTATTTAATTCAAAATTTTATTAGTTTATCTCATAAATATTTTTTATAAATATGAATTTAAATTTATATATATTATAACATATTTTTAAAATATATTAATGTGATATTAAAATGTTGCAACATCTTTTTATTAAATTTAACGTCTTTATCAAACCTAACATAAAATACAAAATCAATATCACACAAAATATTAAATTTTTAAATACGACTTTTATCATATAATATTTAACTTTCATTCACTAAATTATAAAAGTAACTCTTATAATATAGCACTTAATTTCTATCTTATTAAAAATCTAATTTTAATACCAATTATAAAAATTTTTAAATCAAAATAAATAATATTTTCATATATTAAATACAGGTCTTCACAGTAATTACCTATCCAACTAATTACATTATCATTCGTGAAATATAAAAGGGGAATTAATCCACACATGCAAATATTCTCAACACTCTCTTCACTCACTTTATTCTCTTCTTTGTTTTTTAGCCTTTTATTTTTCTTATAAATTTGATTAAGTATTGAAATTCATCCCGAAATTCTACATCCAATAGCTCTCTCTATCTTACGTTCTATGATGGATTTAATGCGCTCACCAGCTCAACTTCCATGTAACTCTTTTCTCACCGAACTAAAAAATTCATCAACGGGAAATTAGAAGCTTATGCAGCAATTATGAGCTTAAAAGTAAACACTAAACGCAGCTTCACAAACAAATTCCCTTGGTAACTAACCTCTTTGCCAAGTTGCCTCAATCCCAACGTTGGTTAATGTTTTGAAGTCCTTTACTAGTAAAGACTAAAGACAAGAAGATATTGAATTGAGAGATTCTGTGTTTGTTTTTTAAAAGCAACAAAACAAAACATCATAATTGTTAAGTCATTTTGTTCAAACAAAGATTAAGGGGAACAGTATAATTGAGGATTTCTAGGTGAATTTTCAATTTTGTTTTCTTGCATTGCCTTATGATTTGTTTAATCAATGATAAAAAAACACCAACAAATCTGCATCTCTCTCACATTTTATTTAATTTCTTTTGTTTAACAATTTTCATGATATTATAATATATACAAGTATAATAAATTATCACTACTAAAACATGGAATGAAACCATGAAATCCAGAACTAAACTATGTTTAAAAATTTTCTTTTTCGACTAACACAGGTTTCGCTGGAAAGTTACAATCACTGTCCTTTTGCCGTTACAAGTGCAAATCTGTTTTTTATAAGAAGTTGCACAATCCCACGTCGCTTCCTAATGCAAAAGGCCCATAAATATATAGGAAGATCTCTCGGTTCAAGGCTTGGTTAATGACTTTCGGATTGAATTGATTTTGCTATTGCGGTATACAAATCTAAATTAGAGAAATCCGAAAAAATTTTAGATGGTAATGCTATTAAAAAATGTAATTGAAATATTTAAAAATGTATGTATAAAATAATAAATATTAAAAATATAAAGATAATAAAGTGATTGTTATCTCAAATGTATTTTTTCACTAAAAAACAAATTTAAGGAATTTTTTAATTAAGTTGAAAATTTAAGTTTTTAAACTAAAAAAAAAATTAATTTTTTTATTTGTTTTAACAATGCTTGTGGATAAAAATAATTTTTAAACATTAAAAATTACTTTCAACATCAATACTAAACAAAACCTTAAAGCATGTTGATTTTGTTAATGACTTTTTGGGACCAAAAATGGATCTCCAAGGACTTTAGTCATTCAATTATTGTTTCATTTAAAATTCAAAACTTTTGATTATCTCTCCACGAATAAAATTTCTCTTTAAAATCTTTCATTCAAACTCGCATTTAAAATTATTTCAATAATGTTTTACCTTTTAAATAACTCAATCAAAATACATTAAAATATCATGAAATTGAAAATTTCTAAATCATGGCCTTGACTGATATGTTAACCATTTTAACTGTAAACGTTAACAAGTATAACCTAAATTCAATTAACAATATTTAGTAGTCATTTAGATCTCACCGCATTTTCAGTGTGATACGATTAAATTTATCGTACTTTCAGTTGAATTTAAATATCAATTTCAATGAAGTCAAGTTAACATAAATTTTTTATTAAATTTTTTTTCAATCGTAATTATAATAAATTTTTTTTCAATCGTAACTATAATAAATTTTATTATTGTTTTTAATTTCACTGCAACCAATTTCACTGTCTATTTAAATAGAGCATTAGAGAATAAAAAATTTAAAATTAAAGAGAGTATATTTGCACAATTTTAAATATTTTTTAAGAAAAAAATTGGGTAAATACTTCCATGAAGTTCATTAAGGTTTGAAACGCCATTTTATGAATACAGTGTCTAATGAAGAAGAAAATAATTGGATTTTAAATCCTTTTTTAATACACTTTAATCAAAATTAGAACAATTTGTTCATGAGCTGTAATTAGGACAATTACCTATTCTTTTCTAATTTCATTCTAAAGCTATTTTCAATTTTCAAATGTTATTTTCAACACATATGTATAGTGTATGATTTTAAAACCTTTTGTTTTCATTTAAACACTTTAAAAAGTAATTTCTTTAGTAATATAAACAATAATATACTCTTTATTTTTATTTTATTTTAATTCAAGTGTATGAATTAATTACCTAAAGAACTAAAAGATTACCTAATCTCATTGTGCAATTTTGTTTAAATTATTAAAGTAATTATAACATTGTACAAAAAAAATACTTATCAATGAAAATTTTCAACAATTAAAATTTTAAACAAAAAATTTAGAGAGTTTAAGAACAAATCCTATAAGAAAATCTATCGTTATTTAATTTAAAACATTTGAATCAATAATTAGTATGTGTATTCTCCTCTTAATGAATTAAATTCGAATATCTCATTAAAAAATATCCAAACAAATTTTTATTTGTATCAAAAAATAATTATGATAATTTTAAAAATAATATAAAAAGATGCAAAAATAACAAGATTTAAAATTTTTTAACAAAAAATATTTTTTATTTAATTTATCATATAAATTATAATATAAAATTTTTATATTTATATATTTAGTATTAAATAAAAATCAAATAAACTGCTAAATAATCTAAAGAAAACCATCAAATTATTATGACGAAGCCCAGTTCGTACCATTGACCAATGCCTTGGGCCACATTGAAACCTCTAATAAGACATAAGTTAATAGGCATGGGCCCACTTGATGTCGGACAACGCAGATTGAATTATTTTCTCAGAAACTTCAAAATTACCAATGTCTCCCTACCAATGATGGGCTCAAAGAAACAGTGAAAAAGCCAATTTATTACATTATTATTGTTTTAAATTTTAATTTAAATTAAATCATCAAATCAATAGAAAATGGATTTTCAAATACCCCCACAAAATCTAAAAAAGAAATCAATCGGCGAAGATTTGAGGTGTTCCATGGGACCGCAATGCAGAGAACCAAAACTTTGCTGCTTAAATGACAAATCCAATTTAAATATCAGACAGTACGGGAAAAGAAATTTGTCAGAATGATGCAAGTGAACGTGCAGTAATTTGAAGCTCGAGGGGTTCATTACTTACGCGCTGTGACAGTCCGTGTGTCTCACTTTCTTTTTTTTTACTATTATTAATAACTTAAAATATAATAAAATGATACGAAAACAAAAAATATAAAAATAATATAATATAAAATTTTAATAATAATTATATAAAAATTTTATGAAATAAAAAAATATATTAATATTTTCATATCTATATGATACGTTAATAAAAAATAAATGAATTTATAAATTTTAATATTTTTATTTTACAAATATATAAATAATTAGATCTAATTACTACTATTACTTTATTTTTTATTTATATTTTCATTAGCTTGCTTTGTTATTTCATTTTTTTAAATATTTCATATATTGGCATTTATAGTCCAAAGAACATTATTTTTTGTAATAATTTTTTTTTTCAATTTTTAGTTGAAAATAATAACATTTAAATTTGATATTTAAGTATTTACCCTAAAAAATTGAAAAATATAATAATATCTAGATCTTTAAGGTTTACAAATTATTCTCAAATTAAACAATATTTTGTCATGAACTAATTTATATTATAAATATAAATTGATGATTTATATTAGATTGTAAGTTTTTTTATTAACCCTTCACTTAAAAGAAAAAGCATTTGTAAATAAAAATTTTATTTTTTAATATAATATTTTTAAAAAATATAATAACAAATTAAATTTTATATTTAATAATTTTAAAATTAATTATATAAAAAATTAATATTTTTGAAAAATATTCGTTAAAAAATTACTTAACGGTCTCGTATTCCTTTTTTACAAAAAGAGAATACACATTTTAAGATTGTTCATGTTTATTTTATTGAAGGACGAGAATGTAAACAAAAAAAAATCTAAATCCCTCAAATGTACATCAAAAGAAGAGAATTTTGACAAAATAAAATTTCAATCTCTTAATTTTGCATAAATAGAGAATATTTGACTAATTATCAAAAAAATATTAATTTGAATTTAAATTTTTATTTATTTATGTTAAATATTCAATTTAAAATTAATGAACTGTAAGTGAAGAAGTTCAACTTGAATATAAGACTAACATATATTAAAAATTTATTAGGTTTAATTTGATTATAGGAATTTAAAATTTTATTAAATATGAAATAATACACTTTAATAAGTCCTTATCATGTGTATAGGAAAATGAAAGAAGCTTTTAACATGACAAATTAGAAAAGATAATAAAAAAATTTTAATTTTGATACCATATTAAGTATTAAATTTAAAACTAATTAATTGTAAGTGATAAGGTTTAATTTAAATATAAAATTATAAAATATTAAAAATTTATTAAATGTAAGATAACTTATTTTAATAAATTATAACAAAGAAAATAATATGTTCAATTTTAAAATTTGAAAGCATTGGAAACTATTATTAGTATTAATTTTTTATACAAATGAGTAATTCTCAAAATTTTAAAATTCAAATAAAATATCAACATTTTCCAAAAAAAAAATTTCTTAGAAATAGAGTAAGCGAAACAAACCAAATCCTAATGTTTTCATTTTTTATTATTTTTATTTAATTAAATACTAATAAAATAAAAATTAAAAAAAAAAAAAGAAAGAAAGGGATTGGACATTACAGTATCCACTTATCCATAATGAAATGAAACGGCTGATTGATTAGGCGTGCAGTTATTCTAAAATAAGGCGAGTGGTGTTGTCATTTCCCTTTCATGTTTTTTGAGGTAGATCTGAATCTACTCCCCCTCTTACCCTTGTTTTGTCCAATTCTGTAAAGACAAATACCCTTCAAAATTAAATAAACTTAAAGAACAAAAAGCAGAAAGAAAGGGACGAGAGGTAAAGAAAAAAAATAAAGGAAAAACAAAGAAAGTGAGAGTGGGTTTACTCTCCCAAGGTTGCCTGCAGAGGGTTTTTGCACTGCCACCAAAATTTGTGGTTCTAAGTTTCGAAGCAGGAAAGAGAGAGAGAATAAGAGCAGAAGTAGCATCAGCATCAGCTCCAAAGCACGTACCTCCGATTTTTTTTTTGTTCTTCTTCTTCTGTAACACCAAGCTTGCTTCTTTTCTCTTTGTTTTTGTTGGATTTCTTTTCTTTGATGGATTTGAGAGAGGAAGGTTCAATTCATTGCATTTATGTTTATAGCCTCAAAAAATAATTATAATAAAATAATACTAACCCACACCCATCATTGCCCTTTTGAAGCAAAGTCCACTCTTGCACTCTTTTATCCTCTTTTCTTCCCTATCATCTCCTTCTCTCTCTCTCTCTCTCTCTAGAAGGGAAGGGCTTTTTTATTTTGGTTCAGTTTTAGCACTTTAGCTTAGAAATTTCTTAACTTGTGTTTCCCCATGGATTCATATGAAGCTACGAGGATAGTTTTTTCAAGGATCCAAAACTTGGACCCTGAAAATGCTTCAAAAATCATGGGTTATCTTCTTATTCAAGACCATGGAGAGAAGGAAATGATACGTTTAGCCTTTGGACCTGAAGCTCTTATCCACTCTTTAATCCTGAAAGCCAAAACCCACTTAGGACTTTCCATCTCAAACCCACCAACACCTTCCACTCCTTCTTCTCCTTCCCCTTTTTCTTCTAGGCTGAGCCCTTTATCCATCCCTTCTTCAAGACTTACCAATACCAACACCACCAATGGCTTTGAGATTACAAACGCTTCTTCCCCATCTACTAATACTTGGCCTCCTCTTAGCCGTCGTCCCATCAGTCCCAGCTCAAATTCCTCTCTTTCTTATGCTAGTATTGTTAATGGAACCAGTAATAGTGCAAATGGCTCTGGATCTTTACCCTCTATTGCTTCATGTGGAAATACCTGCAATGACAATGAATTCATTGGTGACTACCAGTTCCAGGACCATCTTTCGTTTCTCAACGACTCAAAGCCTGAAGATTTTTACGACCCTCGACTTGACTTAGCAATGAGTCCAACTGGCTACGCTGATTCTCCTTTACATAGGAGGAGTTTCTCAGTTCCTGGTCTGTGTTTTGGGGCGGAAGATGTAAATTCTGGGGTTGGATGGAAGCCTTGTTTGTACTTTGCAAGGGGGTTTTGTAAGAATGGTACTAGCTGTAGGTTTGTTCATGGAGATTGTACTGATGGTGCTGTTCTAGTTGGTTCACCAAGCAAACTCAACGAGTTGGAACAGTGCCAAGGGCTGCTTAGATCAAAAGCTCTTCAACAACAGCAACAACAACAAAAGCTAGCTGCAGCTTCTCAGTTCATGGCTGGTCCTTCCTTTCCATACAGCAAGTGTGTTAATTTCCTTCTCCAACAACAAAATGACAGTCAAAGGTAAAATGCATGGAGCTTATTTTTGTTAATAGCTTTTTAGTTGTTCCTGCACTGCTTAGATGCAACTTTTTGGTTGTTTGAGAGTGTTTTGAGTTAATGGGTACTGGTTTGTCGACTCATTATGACATTGATATTGGTTGTTGCAGATCAGCAGCGGCAGCATTGATGATGGGAGATGAGCTTCATAAGTTTGGGCGGTGCCGTTCGGAAAGAAATGATTTTGCAGCAATGGGATTAGGAGCAGTAAATCCAGGCTCTAGACAGATTTATTTGACATTTCCAGCTGACAGTACTTTCAAAGAAGAAGATGTTTCAAGTTACTTCAGGTAATACAAGTTACATATTCAGTCAGTCATGGTGGTTTTTGGGTTGAGTTTCCATTGTGGGATTTTGGGTTTAAGATTGTTTCCATTTTTTTTCTCCTATAGCATCTATGGACCTGTGCAAGATGTGAGAATACCTTACCAGCAAAAGAGGATGTTTGGGTTTGTTACATTTGTGTATCCTGAGACAGTGAAGCTCATTTTAGCTAAAGGGAATCCTCATTTTGTTTGTGATTCTCGTGTTCTTGTTAAGCCTTACAAGGAGAAGGGAAAAGTCCAGGAGAAGTAAAGGCTCTTATTTTTTTCATGGTTGTCTTTTTAGCTGTTTCTATAGTGCCCACTTTTATCTAATTGATTAAAATTTTCTAGGAAGCAACAGCATCAGCAACAACAATTGGAGAGAGGAGAGTATTCCGCATGCTCAAGTCCGTCTGCTCTTGATTCCAGGGAGCCATTCGATCTGCATCTCGGTGAGTAAAACAAGGCAATAACAAAGGCCAGCCTTTAATTTATCTCAATTTGAGGTACTTGTTGGTGAACTTTTATTTTGATTTGAAATTATTTAGGACCGAGGATGTTTTACAATACCCAAGAGATGCTATTGAGAAGGAAATTGGAGGAGCAGGCTGATTTGCGGCAAGCCATTGAGTTTCAAGAAAGAAGGCTAATGAATTTGCAGCTACTGGACTTAAAAAACCATTACCATTCTCAGTTCCGTCATGGTTTGTCCACTGGGTCTCCCATTCCTTCACCAACTGTATCCCATACTCCCAACGATCAAGCACTCATTTTTCCAGCTGATGGCATTGATCAAGAAGTCCCAGAAGGTTAACACCATTGAGAACAGTTTAAAATAACTTTGGTTTGTTCACCATTTGAACGAAACTTCTTTGGAGTTTGATTTATCAATTTGGTTTTCTCTTTTTGCTGCAGAGAATGGTGGTAGCCCAGTCGCATCGGTTTCCATATTGGCTACTGCTGTGGATGCTGATAAGCAGCAGGAGGAAGTTAACCCAGTTTGTAATCATAAAAGTGACAATGGTAATAGCATTACCAAGGAGGAGAAGGCCAACATTGGAGAAAGTGATCTCCCCGAAAGGTATAAAACATGACCTTTAAATGTTGATAAAAAAAAAAAGTTTACCCACAACAGAAAACAGAATGTTCAGGTTCTATATAGTTCTTCTGTTTTATGCTTTCTTTTGGTGATCTTTTTGAATGGATGTTTATGCGTATTAATGCCTTTTGTCATGTGATCAGCTTGGAGCATATTCTCCCTGATAATCTGTTTGCTTCACCTAAGAAATCAGCTGGTGATCACCCCACTGTCTTCTCTACCGCTTCAGTAGAGGTCGACGACAAAACCACATGTCCAACTACATCTTCTAACAGTAACCCTTCATGGGCCAACAGCTCCAGCCTCAATATGACTTCTCTTAAATCATGTTTTCTACAAATGCCCAGGTATTAATTGTCATTTCTTTTCATTGCCACAGCATTCAAAAAACAAAATTTCCTTTACAAAAGTTAATTCGAAGGATGAATTTTGTTATAAAGGTTTTCTTCCGGGCAAGGAACCATTGGCATGTAGTTGGCAGAGGTGAGCATGGCCAGCGAAGGAGGAAATTGACTTTTCCGGAGTACGCACATGCATACATTTTGTTGGAATTCTGGTCAAATGTAATTATCTCATGATGTTGAACTGTTTCCTTCTATCTTTGCAGAAACATTGGGAAGCATAGACATGGAAGATTAAAAAAAAAATAGAGAAAAATCCTCTAGCTGTATAGCCAATAAGCATACCCGCAACAAAGAAAAAGATCCGTAGACAAGATCGCAGCAAGATCACCATCATCATCGATACAAACTACTTAAAATGGATACATGATATTGTATAGGTAAAGGACAGAGGAACTGATTTATTGGAGTGGTGTCTTTCTCTTTCCCCTACTATGACCCTTCCTGTAGGTGAATGCGCTGGACCACACAGCATATAATAGAACCAAAAAAAATGCCTGTAGTTAAACTCTTTAACGTGATATTGTAGTTGTTACTCTTTTTTTAATCTTCCTACTCTTTTTTTTACCCTCCTTTTTTCAAAGTGAGGTGAAAAAAGGAATTATATATAAGTAAAATCTGTACGAAGCAGACCCCAAGAAGTTATGAAGTACTGTAGCAGAAGCATAACTACTATACTGATCTGGAGACCCAAAAAGGAAAAGGAGTGCAAGGGACTGAAGTGGAGGGCAAAAGCTGTTACTGCTACTTTTTTATTTATTTTTTAAAGTTCTTGTTGTTGTTATTACAGTATCTGTCAAACCATTAGATTATGAAACAAGCACAACCGGAAAAAAATACTTACAAAAAAAAAAAAAAAAGGTTAAAGGAAAGGTTGTTCTTTCATGTGATTAAAGGATAACTTTTGGGGACACTTTTGTCTCATTTTGTGGTTTCTTTTAGGTGGACATGAATGGGTAAGGGCCACACTTTCACATGGGTCTGACAATTTATATGAATGGTGTCTGGGTACCACTCACTCACTCCTTTCACTTTCAGTCTTTAAACCCTAGTCAGACTTTTAAATATTTAAATTTTGATTCTGATATTTGTGTTTTATGGGTGATGCTGCCCTTGTGGTAATCTTAAATCATGTTAGGTGTACATGTGCTGCCTGCACTCCCACCTCTTTCAAATTGCTCCCCCTGCCACATGAACACAGATGTTTGTCTCCTAACTTCTTTGTTGGTTGTTGCCAAGATTAATTGGATGAAACCTCATTATTATCTGATTTTATTTTATTTTTAAAAAAATTTTCCTTATGGTTTGACTGATTAGGCTATAATTAGTAGATTACTTTATTATCTTTTATGCAACATCTAGTGGTGTTTGAAGGACCACCAAGGAATTTCATTGGTTGATTACTTGATACGAGTATTGAGTTAACATTAAAAGAAAACATTTAAGAATTCGAAACTTGATTTATACAAACGATTATCAAAAAATAACATCAGCAGATATAGGATTTGAATTTTTTTTTTCTATTACAAGGCTATGATAAAATTTTAAAAAAAGAATTAATAACTACTGGAGTTATAATGTCAGATCATTTGCCCCAATTTACATGCAAAATAGCTGGCCAATTGCTGTCCCCATTTTGGCTAAATTTGATTTATTAACTTAAATTATAATGTAAGTAAAATCATCAACATTTTTGTCAATGTACAAAGGAGGAAATTTGACGTGGAGGTTAGTGATTACTTTAGGTGCTGTAGAGGTGACAGCCTCTTCTCATTCTTGTCGTTGTCACCCTGTCCTAATAACGAAGAATTCAGAAATTTGATATAGCAAACAAGTTTATCTTCTCAATGGTTTGGATTTTAGGTGATTAGGATTGATGGAGGAGCTATTGCTAGTGAAATTCATCATAACCACTACTACTCACTGTTGATTTTTGGCTTAATTTCATTGAGAAAATCTTGATGATGGGCCCTTTTTTACTTCAGTTGATAATTATTTTGTTGTCAAATATGTTTTTTGTTATTTATTTTTTGTTTTGTTTACTTTTAAAATAATAAACAAAAACATCTATAAAACTAAAGTCTTGATATTTTTTTCAACGGCAGTGCAGGTAAGTGATTATTACTAGCCGTAATTCGATTGGAATTGGGTCATTGGAATGGGGGCATTTTAATAATAGCTGAGTTGGCAAATTCAAGTGGGAAAGGGGTTTCATAATTCCTCACGAAAAGAAGTAAAACAGTGTTTTCACTGTTAAGTTAGTACAACATTTCCTACTTAATTAAGCCATGATTTCAGCTCTTTTTTATGGTAGGCCCCCTTGAATCATCACATCAGCTTGCTTGTTTTTTTATATTACATTATCTATTCCAGTAATTTTTTAATTTTATCAATTGAATCAATAAAATAATACATATTTTTTTATGATATATTTAAAAAATAAAAATAAATTAAAAATATGATATATATATCATCATATTAATTTTATTTGTAAAATTAAAAAAAATCTACTAATAATAATAATATCAAATAATTTTTTTTATAAAAAAATTAAGTTTAGAGAATGAATAATTGATGCTCTTTTGCATGATAGTAAGAAAAATTTTGTTATCACATCATTACATCTTTTTTAGTATTAAAAAAATTATAAATATTAAGATTTAAAATTTAAAATTATTAAATATTATTCTTTAAAAAATAATTATATAAATTAATTAATTTAAACTTTGAATTAATTATCATATCATTTTTGAAAATGAATCTCTTATTCATATAAATGAATCTTAATTTGACAAAAACAACTGTTTGTCATAATTAATGAGGACAATGGCATACAATAAACAATATTGCACAATCTTCATGATTAGATAATATAAAGAAATGGGGGCAAAGCAACATGGCAGATGTAATGTTGGGTGAGAATTGCAAAATGGGATAAAAGTTTGAATATAATTTCCATTGTCTGTTCCTTGCTACAATCCCATATGGGTATGCATTGGTTGGTGTACTTTCAGCAAAATAAAAATATTAAAATCAATCAGGAGATGCCTTCAATTCTTTATTCATCTTGTTCTTGAAAAGATATTTTTTTTGCATGATAAATATTGATAGCTTATTGTATAACTTTGAAGGGCCAATGAGTCTTCAACTTAATTTTACTTGTCTTAGGTAAGTTTATGTTAAGATTTATTTAAGTATAACTTAAAAATTAATAACTTATTTAAGTATCAATTAAATTTTATTTGAATACAAATTAAAATAATAAAAAAAAGTTCCTTCATTGGCATAAAAAAGAACCCTTCTTCAATCTAACCTTTTTGGGCCTCAGAGATCCCACCTTAATCTACTTTATATTAGATTGGGTAGGGTTTCCCATTATTCACCCAAGCCCAACCCAATGTTTTACACATTTTTAAAAGAAAAAAGGAAGAAAAAGATCATAGACAAAGCCCACTTATATAATTCATATACTAAACTTTGAAAAAAAAAAAAAACATTATGAGAATTAGCAAAATGACACGTGCTCTTTAACATAAAGCAAAAAAATTATAAAATGAACATGTGACAGCCTCTTAAAATTATATATATGTGTGTGCAAGTGTTTGTACACGTGTTCTATTCTTCACAATAACAAATGTTAACAAGTTTTCTTGTCAACAATAAAATGAAAATTTTCTTTGGTTTTCACTAACTCAAACTTGTTTTTTTTTTTTTTTTTAAATCCTATTTTGCATTTTGAATGAGGTATATTTATTTGAATTTATTGATATTAATGATTAAAAAAATGTAAAATTTTTTAGTTTTATATTAATATAAATTGATCCCTTTAATAATATTAATATACTTTCTTTATTAGGAAATAAAGTATAATAGTTTAATATAAAAGGGATGGTTATTTGATTAAGATAATTAAATCCCAAAAAGTAAATTATTTTCAAGTTATTAAAAACATTAAAAAAAAGTTTTGCATGAACATTTGACTCAATAATTAATACATATATTTCTTTTCTCTCGTTTTTTTATTCATGTAAAAAAAGCAAAGAAGATTATCGAAGTTAATATGGATATGTTTTTATCATATGCTAATCATAGCTTAGCTGTTTTATTTCTATTGTAATCATTTGTTGTCTATTTATATCAATACAGAAATTTATTCAAAATATAATATCCTCTGTAAGAAAATAAAGGGGAAAGTTTATTATTATTATTTTTTATTTTATTTTTAATTTATTAAATTTGAAAACATGTTTTAATAAAATATTTTTATTTTAGAAATGTGAAAACAACAACGTATAAAAGAAAGTGATTAAAGTTTTAAGATTTTATTTGTTATTAATAATATAATAATATTAATTAATATATTATTATAATGTTTATATAATAAAAATATTATTTTATTAATATAATAATTATAGCATCATTTTATTGGTTTAATTGTAATTTTGTGAACAGTACCCATGTGCTAACAGTGTCAAATTATTTTCAAAAAATTGAAAAATACCATTTTACTGTTTTTAACAATTTTCAAAACTTTTTGAAATTTTTTTTCAATTTTCAAAAAAACTAAAAACGAAAATAGAAAACAAAAAACAAAAAACAAAAAACGTAAATAAAACAAATGACCCCTAAATTGTCAAATTCAATTTCCATTTTCTAAACAAATCTTTCACATGCTATTTTTAATCTTAACCAAAAATTTTCAAATTAATGTAATCTATTTTTTTTAAAAGTAGAGAGTGGTAGAAAAAAAAAAAAACACCACACTCAAATATTTTATAGTTGTAAACAACTATCAATTATAATATTTTAGTGATATATGCTTCCTAATAGATTTGTATTTTGATAATGATTTTTAATTTTGGATTTAATTCAATTAGTGAGAATATTGTGTTATTAAATATTTATTTTTATTTAATTTTAATTTGAAATTGTACTTAAAAATATTGAAATATTAATATAATATTTTATTATTAAATTTAAACAAACACATACTTAAATGAAGATAAAGTTTTTGAATGCCAATCAGAATGAATCCAAATTATCTTTATCCATGAACAATTTTATTTTGTAATAAATATTTGCTAGATTTCAAGCTCGTGCTTCACTTGTGGAAGTAAAATATAATTATGTATTAGTTTAAACATTAAAAAATGTATAATAAAAAAATATATGTATCCATGTTTCTTTGTAGGTTTCATTAACTTAATCTGTAGGTTATCAGAAGTTTAAATCAATAATGCAACCACAACAACCATAAATTATGTCTAAAATAAGCCATACATCCAAATTGGCATATGCAACAGACTACTTAGATTTAATTTAGGCATGCAGTAGCATATATTAGAGAATCGAGGGCATTTAAAATTGTATAACTAATAACATTTCCACAAAGATAAATGCTATAGGTTTTTCCATTATAATGATCTAGACATACTCAAACTTTACTCCTTTTAATACATGCTTATAGTCTGGTTCAATGTATCTAAAATTTATATCTTATTGAGATTGATCGAATTAAGCTTTTCAAGTTAAGAATGTTCCAATAGGTATTAAAGAATTAAGTGAGATTCTGTTCACCATAATTGAGTTAGATATTCAAAAATTTTATTTTTATATTCAGTTTCTTTCCAAATATGCTTGTATATTGTTTAGAATATTAACAATCAAGTGCCTCACATAATAGCAATTTTAGGTCTTATGATCTATTTTGGAATATTGACAATCAAATGCCTCACATAACACCAATTTCTGGTTTTATGATCTATTTTTCTTTCTTTGATATATAAACAGTATAAGTCATTTGAACAAAAGTAATCTATGTTACACATGTAATAATATAGGGCATTGTAGGTGCCTTTTTTTTTTTTCTTAAGCCATAATAAAGTAGAACCATGAATCCATGATCCATGGATTACCTTTTTATCTAAATTGAAACATAAAGTATTACATAAGAATTAAAGCAATCCACTAATACCCATAAGACAAACAATAAAAGTAAATAAATACTTTTCTTGCTCTCTCTAATTGATTGAGATTGCTACTGGTAATTGCTATGATCTGATTAAAAGTCATTGTTGTTTTGAACATTGACAATCTCAAAGCAAAAGTTTTACATCTGGGTGTATTCAGGTTTTACCATGCTTT